TCCCAACTTTGTCATCTTTGGCCAGGATTGTGAGGTCACATGGTACAGAGCATGGCAACTCATGCTTAAGAAACCCCTTAAAAGGGACTGTGGGCATGGAAGGTCTGCTGAGGGCTTCCAAAAGGGAGCAGTGTAACTGGCAACCTTCTTGTTCGCCTGTCCAGTACCAGTGACCTTCAAAGGCCAACGTTCTCCTTGGCCTTTTCTGCCTGATCTGATCTGCAATGGGAGAAATCAAGGCTCTAGGGGCAATGTAGAAAGGGAACTTAGGTTCCAGTTCTGGCTCCTACATTTCTTAGTAGTGGGGTCTTAGGCAAGTTTCTTCCCCACTGAGAGCCTCAGGAGGGGACTGGACGAAGTCTGTAGGTTCCCTTACAGGTCTGGTGTTTGAGTATCTCCCTTTAGGTTACTGTATAAGGGATCTAAGTCTTGTCTGGGGAAGCCCTCAAAAACATCTGAGGTAGGAAAGAGGGAGTCAGAGTTCCACCTTGGAAGGGCACAGGAGGTGCTTAGCCAAGATTTATTGAACTCAATGAATGAATCAATGGCTGGGGAGGAGGGGGAGACCACACAGCACACATAGAATGTTTACTTAACTTGAGGAATTTCAATTGCTGAGGAGGCTGGAAGGAGATTCTGATTCAAATGAATGATGAAGGAGAATGACTGGGGCAGAGTAGGAATCTTGGCTATTAACGAGCATTCATTCTATCCTCCCAGTCACACTTCACATCCAATAATCAGTCACCAAGATGAAGCACATCTCTTCCTTTAATGGCTCACACCTTATCATCTCCAATCCAGTCCCACTGCCCTTGCCCTTCAGTAGCCTAGTATTTTCAATAGTTCCCTAACTAATCTGTCTCCATTTTCTCCTTCACACATGTATTCATTCATTCAAAAACTATTTTTTGGATGCCTTTTTGGGGTCAGGCACTGTGCTTTTTGCTGGGGGTATACTAGTAGCAAGATAGCCACACACCCACCCCTGTGGGGCTTATAGCTTATTTGGAGAGAGAAAACAGGCAAATATAACACAGTGTGAGAATTGAACTAACTAAGGGAGCATATAGCTTGAGCATCTAACCTAATCTGCTTCCACACTGGCTAGCCAGAAATGGGTTTGTTTCTTATCTAGTCTCCTCTGCTGTCTCCAACCCACAGTTCCCAAACCTGGCTGCACCCTAGACACCCTCACATTTATAAGCTCTCCAGATCCTGAGGCCCCCACCCAGTTATGGAAACTGAATTTTTAGGTGGGGGGGGGGTGTCATCCAGGATGCACCCTGTGTTTCTGGTATACAGCCAGTTAGGGAACCAAAGTGTTCTATGAGGTAAATCTGTTCTATAGCCAGATTCTTACGACTCATCTCAAATCTGGTTCCTGACTACCTCTCCAGCTTCACTTCCTGCTCCTTTTCCCCAGCCCATGAAACCTTATGGCTCAGTATTTCTGAACTGGTGGGCTGTTACTTGACCGCAGGTCTTGTGCATACTGTTCCCACTATCTGGAAATCCCTTCCAACTCCTCAACTGGCTAATTCCTACCAGTCCTTTGAGACTCAGCTCAGGTTTCACCTCCTAGACTAGAGGATGTCTTCCCTGAACCTCTACCTAAGCTAGATGCCCTTCCTTTATCCATGCTCCTGTCACAGTGCTAATCACATTGGTTTATAAATTGCCTCCCTAACTAGACACTGAGCTCCTCAAGGACAGGATAAAGATTTGATTAATGTTTGTGTCCCCAGACTAAGGCTACTAGGTCCAGAACATAAGGGAGTCAACCTAGTGTCCCTCAACTAGCCCTAGGGATTTCACTCAGGTCCAGCTGGCTCTTGGAAACACACCAGTGTCCGCTCTCTTCTGGGCACAGCCTGCACTGAGTGTGTGTTGTCTTGTGATGATAGGAGGCAGTGTGACACAAGAGAAAGCACTGGGCAAACAGAGAAGATCCTAGTTGAAGTCTAGGCTCTGTAACAGAACCACTGGGATCTCAAGACAAGTCATCTCACCTCTCTGAGCCTCAGGATTTAAATCCTTTGTAGCATTTGTGTTCCTATGTGCCAGGGCCTTAGCCTGAGGCAATTCATGTAATGCTTTCTACCTCATGAGGTAGGGATTAGTTACCCAGATTATCATCCACACCTACTGAATTAGATTTCCAGGCGTGGGACCAGAGCAAGGAGCTCCACATCCTTTGGACATGGGAGTGCAGCAAGGAACTGCTGCTTTTCATTATAAGCCCTTCTGTATTATTTTATTTTCTAACTGGTATATATATTGCTTTGATTCTTAAAAAGGAAAAAGAGGGAGTTCACTGGTGGCCTAGTGGTCAGGATTCTGGGCTTTCACTACCACAGCCCAGGTTCAATCCCTGGTTGGGGAACTGAGATCCTGCAAGCCACACAGTGCAGACAGAAAAAAAAAAAAAAAGGAAAAGAAAAAGCTTCACAGGTGATTCCAGTGAATAGCCAAGGTTGATAACCACCCTCACAATGGAGAAAACACAAGACTGAATTGGAGGGCCTGGGTTCAAACCTTCACTGCTACCTGGTAGCTGGGTTACTTCACCTTCCTGGGCCTCAGTCTCCTCATCTGTAAAGTGGGAAGAATAGCAATTACTACCTTTAAAAGCCTGTGATGACCTAGATGTCAGCCAAATAGCTTCAGATATATTTCAGCTTCCTTACATGGCTGCAAGGTAGGTGTATATTATCTCCTTTCCTTCGTGAGGAAACCGAGGCTCAGGGAGGTGAACTAACTGGCTCAAGTTTCTGCAGCTAGGATTTGAATCAGGGTGACTCCCAAATTGTGCTTTTCCACATATGCCGGCATTTCCCAAATTATGGCACACACACCACAAGCGGTATGCGATTTCTTTGGTTGAGCACAGATAAATTTGTTTTGATAGTTGTCCCTTTTAATATGAATTAGAAAATTACATACTTAGCACATCAAACCCATTGTTTCACGGTTATCGCTACTTAGGGTGAAACTAAAGTAGATAACAATATTAGACCTAAGACAATCTCAAGAAAAATACTGGGTAAATAGTACAGGAGGGCAATTTGGAAGTATCTATTAAAAACAAAAGCATAAATAGCCTATGACTCTGCAATTTAGTTTCTAGTAATCTACCCTAGGTAAGTTTTCACACACACACACACACACACACACACACACACACACACACACACACACATGCTCCTGCTTAGCATCCTATAAAAGCAAAAACAGAAAACAGTCTATCACATGAGAAATGGGTAAATAAAATGTGGTAGAGTCACATAATGGCAATCTACCTAACAATTACAAAGGATTAAGTGCTTCTACATTTAGCAACATGCATAGATCTCAGAAATATAGCTAAGCAAAGAAAGAAAACTGCAGAATGAGTCAATACATCATCTGCATTAAACACAATATAGTCAATGAATTCACATGTAAAAGTCTTAAAGTTAAGATGGATGTACAACAGACATTACAGCAATTAAGATGGGATGGGGGAATGGTAGTTGAATGACTACCATTATTTGCAACAATCTAATTTCTTAAAAAGAAAATTCATTCATTACTTGGGTAATTACAATTGATTAAACTTTTAAAAAACAAAAATGTAGTATACAGATCAGGACAAGGTGATGATGGTCTGATGATGTGAAGAAGCAAAGACTGATCTCATGGCAGCACACTGAGCTACCTCTGCAACTAACACAGTCATTTCCCAAAAGGAACATCACACGCATTTAGCCAGGATATGGCCCAGGCTACCTCTCCCCTACCTCCTCACAACCCAGGTTGAGATCTAGGCACTCAGTTATATGTGATTTAAGCTATAGGGTTCCTTAGGCCCTCCACTTACCAGGTAAACCCCATCAATGCCCTGGAACTTTTCCAATAACCAGAGCATTCAGCATCTCCCAAATCTGGAGGCTCCTTCTGTCCTTAACAATTGAGATCAGAAGCCCTCAGGCATTAGGCATGTGAAGACTTGTATTCTGAGGTGTTGGCACCTACTGGGCTCTAAGCAAGGATAAGGCCTCCAGTGAGGAGTTTGACATCATTAAATCCTGTGAGGTAGGTAAATACTGTTAGCCCCATTTTATAAATGAGGAAACTGAGGCACAGAAAGGTCAAATGACTTGCCCAGCATCAAACTAGAAAGTAATAAAAAATGGGACTAGAACTGTCCCCAGAGCCCAGGCTCTGCTCCTAGTACCCAACCAAATCCTACCAACTTAAGGTCCAGCTCAAAAGTGACCTCTGGAAAGCCTGGAGGTGATCGTCCTCTTTTCAAATTCAAAGCACCTTTACCTGATTCAGCTAACCACGGGAACTCATGAATTAGCATCTTCCTAGTAGGAGAGTAGAGATCATGTCTGACTCAGTTCTGTATTTCTAGCATAGAGTCTGACAAAAAGGTTTTCAGTATGTGTCTGACGAACACACAAAATGAACAAAAACATGAATGAGGGCGGTTTCACGTAACTGCCTGAATCCTATGAGGTCCAGAATACTTCTGCCCAGCTCCGGGGTGCTGTCATACTAAGCTCTCTTGGAATCAAATTCATCCTAGGCTCCTTCTAAAATGGGTCTCTAATATCCTTATTATTTTGCAAGCACACCCACATGCGCACATGTGGACACATACACACACGCATACATACCCACACACAAGCAAAATGCAAGGGGGCCCAAAGGACCCATGATTATGGATGATGGAAGAAGGTCTGGAAGGGAGGAAAGGGGGATGGACAGATGGCCCTGTTCAGCTCAGTTCAGCACCTCCTTCCAGAGGCCAGGATGCTCCCTGAAGTTCAGGAATTTCTGCTCCAGAACTAACATCACCTCTGTTCCTCTTCGTGCTTGATAGCAGTGCCTAAATCCCATGATAATACCAAACAGGGACAGGAAGTAGGGGAAGGTTGGGAACCAGATATCCAGAGATTGGGAGAGGGGCAGCTTAAGGATCCAGACAGGGTAGGAGGGCAGAACTACTGCTACTGCTCATTGGGGTTGGGGTTGGCATCTGGGTACTTGGTGAGGTCGAAGGTCAGGACTTTGCTGATCACACAGTCCCCTTGCTGAAGGAGGAGGGAGAAAAAGAAAAATAAAATTGTAAGGAGAGAATTAAGAGGGTTCTAGTGCCCTAGGACTGGGGAGCTTCAAACCCTCCTCCCTACATACCTGCCCAAAGCCCAGGCTCTGGTTCTCTGGGTGTGAGAAGATTTGCTCAGTCCCATGTTCCTTCTCTACCTGCCTATTTCTGCACTTTTGTCATTTTCTCTCTCTGGGTGCCTCTGCCTTGCCTTTCTATCTGTCCCCAAATTCAACGGCTCTGCCCAGCTGGGCTGGTAAGCCTCTAGGACAGGGCTCCAACAAGGCTGTTCATGAACTGAGTCCCTATGCTCCCCCACCCCCCGTGCCCCTCCACTGCAGCCTTCCCTTCCTGCCCTGGGGTTCAGGCAGGGAGTAGGGGCTGGCTCCTGAGCCAGGCCCGCCCTACCTCAGGGTAGACTCCAATGAGGCTCTCAGCCTTGGTGTAGAACTCCTCCTTGAGAGAAATGACGATGGCCTGGAAGTTGCAAGTCGACTGCTCCTTGATGTAATTTGCCACCTGTGGGAGGGGCCGCCAAGCATTTAGTAGGGCTGAAGCCCTAACACTCCCTGGCTTATATCAGAACCAGAGGCAGGTGGGGTAGGGTAGGGGGTGGAGGGTTGGGGGAAGAGAGGCTGAGAGGAGGCTACTGACTAGTACAGTGTGGATGACCCTCAGCCCAGCCTCCCGGGCACAGAGAACAGGCGGCAGGAACGGCTAGGGCACACTCAGGAGTTGTTCCCTGAAACCCAGCCCCGACTTGGGGGCTTCTTTCCCGGGCCCCACTTTCCTTGTACCCACCTTGCCAATATTGGTGTTATCCAGGGCAGCATCGATCTCATCCAGGACGAAGAAAGGGGCTGGCTTGTAGCTGGGAGGGAACCAGTAGGTAAGCTGATACTGATGGGAGCAGAGGCAGGGCATGACAGCCCTAGGGCCCATCACACAGGCCGGCACCCCCTTCCGTTTCTTCAGAGACTAAAAACCCCAGGTCTGAATGTTGCCTGAGTCCCTAAAGGCCAGTGCACCAATGGAACTCTTCTTTGCATCCATCTCTGTGCTCCAGGATCCCGCAGAACCAAAAGACATGGTCCTCCCTGGAGTGTCCAGGTTGGTTGAGGAGATAAAGCTGTCCTAGGCTCTGGTCACACTGACCAAGCTACCTGGAGGTCGACCCTCACCTACCCACTCACACCATGTCTCCCTGTCTCTGCACATGTTGTACCCTCTGCCTCGGAATGCCTATTGGTCTGCCTGGCTAACTTCTACTTATCCTTTGCATTTCCTGCTCAAGTGTCACCTGCCCTTGAAAGCCTTTCTTGGTCACCCATACCCTCCCAGATTGGGTTGGTGGCTCTCCTCTGTGCACCCAACAACACACATGCTCACCCAGTTACAACATTTAGCTCACTGTCTGTTTACACATCTGGCTTCCACTAGACCATGAGCTCCTCAAGGACAGAAACCATGTCTGACTCATCTGTGTCCCTAATCCCCCAACAAGGTCTGGTAAAGAGCAGCCATCAAGAAATGCTCACTGACTGACACTGTACAATCAAGCACTAAGTTGTAGGGGGGAGTCAGATTCAAGTACTATTGGCATTTAGGAAGGGGATATCAGGCTATGCCACAGTGGTTGAAGCAGGCTTCCTAGAATAACAGAAGGAGGAGAATGCAATGTGAAGGGGTGGTAGGTGATGGCCAAGCTAGATTTGCATGAAAGGGCTTATGAGCCAGCAACCATGTGAGCAAAAGCTTGGAGGTGGGACTGAATACATGCAGGGGAGGGCATGGTGAATGGATGAGGGTGGATTGGGAGGATAAGTCCGGGAAACCAAGGACAGATATGCTGCAGCAGGTAGGGAAACAGATGCAATCCAGAGTCCACCAGATCATCTTCACTTCTGCAGATCTATGCATATCCTTGGACCCCAGAGCCTCCGGTGGCCTCAGCACAGTCTCCACCAACTGCCCTGCAGGGGGCACAGCCTTACCTGTGGATGGCAAAGAGCAAGGCCAGAGCAGCAACTGTTTTCTCCCCCCCTGACAAGTTGTCCATGGGTCGGAAGCGTTTGCCAGGAGCCACACAGTTGTAGTTTATGCCATCCAAGTAGGGCTCCTCAGGGTTTTCAGGGCCCAGGAACGCCTAGGGGGAAAGGAAATGGGTCAGGTCTAGATTGGGATGAGAACAGGAAGCCTAGAGGGAAGGTCAAATGAGGATGGGTAGGGGTCAGTTGGGCAAGGGGCTCCAGCCTACCTGAGCACTGCTGTTACGGGACAGGGCCTTGTAGATCTCATCAATGTTGGTGGCCACCGATTCAAAACAGGCATTGAAGCGGTCAAAGCGTTCTTTCTTGATCTGTTCAAATGCCTGCTTGGCCTTCTTGGCTCGCTTTCGAGCCGCCTCAAATTCTACCACAAGGGAAAGACAGGTGACCCCTCAGTACCCAGGCTCTGCCAAGGCTGAGATCCATGCTCTGGCAAAAACAAGTGACTATACACAGAGCAGGGACATCCCACAGGGAGAGGAATGCCTGGGGAGGGGCCCAGGAAGATAATCCCACAATCACCTGTGTCCAGTGGGCTGATCACATGCTGTGCGACCTTAAGCAGGTCATTCATTCTCTAAACCTCAGCAGTTCTCTACTCGAAAACAGATGTGATAATCCCTACTACTTAGGGTTCTTGGGAGTTTTGAGTAAGAAAGCATGTAAAAACAGGAGCTGTTGTTATGTACAACAGGCCCCTGCCATACCTCCAGACTCCTGCCTTCATCTTAGGCCTGAGTAAAAGAAGAAACTTACCGTCTGAGGTCTCTTGGAACTTGTCTCGGACACTTTCCAGCTTTTCCATGGCCTTCATGTTGGGGGCAGCAATACGCTGGAGCACACTCTGCTGCTCATTCAGCTTCTGCTGCAGTGTGTTCATCTCCTGCTTGATCTCCTCCTCAGCCTGGGCATCCTGCAAAGCCCAGGCCCAGCAGCATTAAGAAGGGCCAGGCCCCACAGAGATACCTGATCCAGTGGGGGCCTGCTCCCATGCAGAAGGTCCATGCAGGTTCTTTTTCCCAACCCTGCTCCTCTCATCAGATCCTGAACAAAGTAACCATTTCCCACTGTCCCTAGAAATTACAGGCTCACGTCACTTTTCACATCTCTAGCCCTTCCCCTTTGGACTGCAAGGAGCTCAAACCAGTCAATGCTAAAGAAAATCAACCCTGAATATTCACTGGAAAGACTGATGCTAAAGCTGAGGCTCCAATACTTTGGCCACCTAATGTGAAGAGCTGACTCACTGGAAAAAATCCTGATGCTGGGACAAAGAGAAGGCAGGAGGAGAAGGGGACGACAGAGGACAAGATGGCATCACCAACTCAATGGACATGAGTTTGAACAAGCTCCAGGAGATGGTGAAGGACAAGGAAGACTGGCGTGCTGCAATCCATGGGGACGCAAAAGAGTCGGACACAACTGAGCATCTGAACAACAATAATAAAGCTCTTCCCCCAGGCCCTGTCAGCCTCTCCATCTCTCAGCTGATGGTGCCCCTCTCTGGCTCTCAGCCAAGGTCATGAGCAAGCACCATCTCAGGGTGACCTACAGGCTCCCACACAGGCTGGTCTGGACTCCATTTATAGCTCTACAATGAATAAGACAACGACACTTTCTGCTCAAATCACTACACCTGAGCAAATTCCACTTGAACTTGGTTTTAAGTCTTATGGATACTGCAATGCATATCTGGGCTTGTGCATTTCTGTCACTTTTAGTCAATAAATATTACTAAATGCCTTCCAACACCAGGCACTGGCCCCTCATATCCCATGAGCCTGGGCTCCTGTACTAATAGAGCTCATGGAGTAATAGAGGAATGTATATAACTAAACAATCTCATATGGTGAATACCCAAACAATGATAAACAGACGGTGATGGGTCAGCACACAAGTGCACTTACTCAGATATGGGCTAGGGAAGGCTTTCAGGAATATTTTTAAGCTCAGGCCTATAAGATGAATGGTGAGAATGGAGAGAAGGAATAGTCTTCTATGCAGATATCACATGCAAAACCAGGGTTTATCTATGGTTCATTCAAGGAAATCAAACCAATTCAAAAGAGTAACCAACTTTAATGAACTTCAAAAGCCAAACGGGAATTCCCTGGTGGTCCAGTGGTTAGGATTTGCTGTTTTCACTTTTGGAGCCTGGGTTCAATACCTGATCAGGGAATTAAGATTCTGCAAACCAAGCGGTGCAGGAAAAAAAAAAGTGTCAAACAAAGGGCAATTCAACATGGCAACAGTAGCAACTGTTGTTGTTGTGTGTGTGTGTGTATGTGTGTGTGTGTGTGCACGCACGCACATGCACTAGACAGAGGCAAGGCTGGAGGCACATGAAGAAGCCCAATGATAAAAGTGTCTTTTATGCCTTGTAAGAAATTTGGGCTTTATCCCAAGGTAGGTGAGGTACCACTGAATAACTTCAAGCATAGGAAGGATACACACACACACACACACACACACACACACATACATATATATTTTAAGAAAAGCCTTTTTGAACACCCCTGTCTCTATATATTGCTATGGAGCGATTCATGGATTTAGTAGAAATAAAATATGAAAGGTACACTACAGAATGCTATCTTTTATCTAAGAGAGAGAATGTGAATATATTTGCATAAAAGTATGTTTGTATTTTAAAAATACAACAACAAAATGATAATCCAAAAACCGAAATGGTCACACATAGAGGGAGGTGAAGTTAGACAAGAAAAGAAGCTAAACTTCTCTTCACATACTTTGTATTATACTTCTGGTTTTAGAATAAAATGAAGAATTTACATAATTATAAAACAAAATTAAGCTGAATCAAAATGTGAAAGCCACTGGGTTAAAAAAGAAATGTTAGGGGAACAAGATATTCACAAGATGCCAAAAAGTCACCCTAAAGATTCCTTATTACTTACGATGGGAAAAGTGTATGCTTAGTATTGAGGGATCTGGCAATAGATACCTTAACTCAGGCTCAAACTTAGCATCATGCATAGTAGGACACTGACATGTGCCTCTGGAGAGATGCAATATAAAGCACACATCAGGGAATTTCCTGGTAGTCTGGTGATTAGGACTCAGCACTTTCACTGGCATGGCCCAGGTTCAACCCCTGGTCAGGGAACTAAGATGCCGCAAATCACTCAGCACAGCCAGGGGCAGGGATGGGGCTGGAGGATGGTATGCAGTGAAATGTTCTTGCCAAAAAATTACTTAACCCAAACCTATCAAGCCTCCAAAATAGTTCAAACTTCCAATTTATAGGAAATACAAGGTTAGGAGGAACAAATTAAGCAGTCATGAAAAGGAACTAACATATTCATAATGCACACATAACATATCTTGTTCTTCAAGACAACATACAAACTGTTCAAAAGATCAATGTCATGAAAAAGAGTAGGGAGACTGCTCTGCATTAAAAGAAAATAAATAAATAAATAAAAGAAACTAAAGAGAATAATCAAAAGCAATGCATGGGACTGACTGGAATATAGCTTAAAAAACTACTACAAAAGACACTAACAACTAGGGAAATTTTAATATGGGTGGAATATTAAGATATAAAATTATTATTAATTTTCTTAGGTATAAAATTGAACTGTGGTTGTAGAGAAGAATCCCTTGTTCCAGCATGCTGAAGAATTTAGAGTTGAAGCCTACAACTTCCCTCAAAAGGTTTAGCAAAACCAAAAAGTGTGCAGTGCAGAGGAAAGGAGGGAATGAAGAGAGATGAGAGAGAAAGCAAACTGGGAAAATGTTCATTAATCAATCTAAGGTGAAAAGGCATATGGGTGTTCAACTGTACTATTCTTTCAATTTTCTGTAGGTTTGACAAGATTCCAAATTAAATTTGGAAAAAAAAGCAGAATGCTAAAAAGCAAAATCCTTTAAAAACTGAAAACTAAACAAAATAAATCTGACTATATACTAAGCTGGTTAAATGCTCAGAAGATCCTTTCAAATCACTTTAAAACACAGAAACACAAAAAAAGCAAAAAACAAAAACATTGGAACACAACTGTCCATGCTCAGTAAGCCTTTAGCTTAAGGACCAAAAGAACATCAAGGAAATCTTAAACAGCACTCAGTAATTGAACTGTTACTAATAATATCTTGGTGTGATTTTCTATATATAGGATACACTAAAGTAAGTATACTAGATTTTTAGCAAGAATAATTGGATAACTCAAACATAAAATCAATATTAAACTGTAAAAACTACAATTTCAATTGGAAGTGTCAATATGAACTCATGATAGATTTTCCTTCAAAATAAAAAGTGTATTTTGTAGCCCAGTCTACTGAAAAGTTCTAGAAACACTGAGCAACCCAGCAGACATGAACATTCCAGTGTCCAAATGGTAGTCGCAAAATAATAGCATTCCTCACAAAAAGTCACTGTGTTTATTTAACTTATATATGGAGTACATCATGAGAAGCGATGGGCTGGATGAAGCACAAGCTGCAATCAAGACTGCCAGGAGAAATATCAATAACCTCAGATATGCAGATGAACCACCCTTATGGCAGAAAATGAAGAAGAACTGAAGAGCCTCTTGATGAAAGTGAAAGAAGAGAGTGAAAAAGTCGGCTTAAAGCTCAACATTCAGAAAACAAAGATCATGGCATCCGGTCCCATCACTTCATGGCAAATAGATGGAGAAACAGTGGCAGACTTAATTTTCTTGGGCTCCAAAATCACTGCAGATGGTGATCGCAGCCATGAAATTAAAAGACGCTTGCTCCTTGGAAGGAAAGTTATGACCAACTTAGTGTATTAAAAAGCAGAGATGTTACTTTGCCAACAAAGGTCCGTCTAGTCAAGGCTATGGTTTCTCCAGTAGTCATCTGTGGATGTGAGAGTTGGACTATAAAGAAAGCTGAGCGCCGAAGAATTGATGCTTTTGAACTATGATGTTGGAGAAGACTCTTGAGAGTCCCTTGGACTACAAGAAGATCCAACCAGTCCATCCTAAAGGAAATCAGTCCTGAATATTTACTGGAAGGACTGATGTTGAAGCTGAAATTCCAACACTTTGGCCACCTGTTGTGAAGAACTGACTCATTGGCAAAGACCCTGATGCTGGGAAAGATGGAAAGCCAGAGGAGAAGGAGACGACAGAGGATGAGATGGTTGGATGGCATCACTAACTCAATGGACATGAGTGAGTAAACTCCAGGAGTTGGAGATGGACAGGGAGGCCTGGCGTGCCGCAATCCATGGGGTCGCAAACAGTTGGACACGACTGAGCAGCTGAACTGACAAAAAGAAGTCAGAGCTTCTCAGAGAAATGGCTAATTCCATATCTGGGGTGGAAAATGTAAAGGATGAGCCTGGAGGGACACACCAGAAATCAAGGAAGATATCAAAGAGTACAAGAGTTGTGTCAAAATTATTCAGAAGCCAATTTGAATGAGTCCCCACGGGCCAAAAATGCCAACAACTTCATGCAACAAGAAGGATAATAATCCTAAGAGTGCAACACGTCAAATGTTTAAATCTAAAAGTTCATAACAACATGAAAACAACTCAGTGGCCATATCTTGAGAATGCCAAAGAACCAACTCATTACAAACTGATAAAGAGAAAGAATCCAGCACATATATCCTGCCTTTCCTATACAAAATACCCCAGGGTAACCAAAAAATTGATGAGAGAAAATCTCTTTACAGTGTTCTAGCTAATAAAGAAATGATAGAATAAGATGACCATTTTAAGATGTCTCTTGACAAATTATAAAATGGGTCTAGGCAATAATCATCATGGCTGCAAACTACACAAAAAGAGCCACTGACCAGATGTTATAAACCTCTTGATGGAAGTAACGACCTCATTTGAAGCAGTCTTGACCAAATAAACCCCAAAACTTGAATCTAATCAAACCTCTAGATTTGAGCTGACCAATATACTGGCCATAAGCCACACATCACTACTGAGCATGAAAAATGCAGCTAGTGTGACTGAGGAACTAAAATTTTTATTTTACTAAATGTTAGATAATTTAAATTTAAAAACTGATAATTCAGTTACTACGAAACTTCTAAGTATATTTGGAACAACTTGGGTATGTGGTTCTCTGTTTTCAATTGTAAATTTTAGGATATCTAAATACAGATCAAGTATTTTTGAAGAAAACTTAGCATCCAAATGGAGATATGCTAGAAGTGTAAAACAGATAATGAATTTTGAAAACTCAGTACAGAGAGATGGTCAAATATCTCATCAATAAATTTTATAATGTTGACCACTGAAATGTTAATTCTTCTGGATATACTGGGTTAAACAAAATATAGTATTAAAATTACTTTCACTTTTTAAAAGTTACACATGTGAGTCTGTAGTTAACAGCACTGATCATCAACCCACTTACAGGAACTGTAGGGTCTAGCAGAACTCATTTTTTTGCTTTGTTCTGGGGCAATATTTTAAAAACCACAGGACATAATCAACAGTATAGAACGTAGAAAATCCTTCAGGAGAAATAAACAAATTTCTTCAACAACAATAAACATTGTAGAGAAAAATAAAAATAGGCAGGAGGAACTTTTGGATTAAGTGAGACATCAACCAATCACTAAATCAATTATCTGTTTCTTTCATTTTATTTGACTCTCAATTAAAACAAGCAAAGAGTGTGTGTGTGTGTGTGTGTGTGTGTGTGTGTGTGTGTGTGTGTGTGTGTGTGTATGTGTATAACAATCAGGGAAATGTGAATACTGATCATAATATTAAGGAATTGTATAATAATATATAACTCCAATGTTAAGTTATTGGGTTTTTAGTATGATAATTCTAAATATTTTAAATAATTTTCTCTTATAGAGATACATTCTGAAATATTTACAATACAAATGAAAAGACACAGTGTCCAGAATTTACTTTTAAATATCCTGGGGGTGGGGAGGGCGGAGAGGATGGCGTGTGTGGGGGTGCACATGAAACAAGTTTGGCCATGAGTTGATAACTGCTGACACTGGTGATGGCCATGAGGCAGCACTGTACTATTTTACTTATGCATATGAAGTTTTCCGTAATAAAAATCTAATAAGAACAGCAAAAATCAACGTGAAGTGGCTCCCAATGGCCAAGAATGGGATAATATGAGTATCAAAAAGAAAAATGACTCCAAATAGACTGAAAAATACCAAAATATGTTTAAACACTTAAGTTCATAAAAAATATAAATTAGAAACCTTACTGGTCACCTTTAAAGATTATAAGGGCAACCAACTCTAAAAGCTGAGAAATAAAGGCAAAGAATTAAGTATTTATCCTACCTTCTCTGTACTAACTGTATTTCAAAAGAACTAAACAGTTGATGTGAGAAAGTTCTTTTTAGAAATCCAATTAATAAACATAGGAGGAATGAAAAAAATCAGAAAATTACCATTTTGTAGCCCTTAATAGATATAGGCAATGATCATTTGTTAATGACTGCTAAAACCTGCTGTGAAAGGCTGATAGGGAACTTGATAAAATCCCCTTATAAAATTGATGGGGCTAACAACACCTTAACCTGGTGATCATGATTGTTTTTCCTTTTTTAACTTTACATTATGTAAAACTTGAAACATTCACAAAAATGCAGATAATGATAAAATGAACCCCCACGTACCTATTATCAGCTTCAATAATTATCAACTCATGGCCAATACGCTGCCATCTACACCCAATTCCTTTCTATATTCAATTATTTTCAAGCAAATCTCAGACATTTCATCCATAAATAATTTCAGTATGTATTTATAAAATAGGGATTCTGAATCTCAGCACTAATATTTTGGGCCAGATGATCTGTTGTTGTGGGTAGTGTCCCTTGTGTACTGTAGGATGTTTAGCAGCATCCCTGGTGTCTATCCACTAGATACTGGCAGCAACCTCTGCCCTAGTTGTGACAAGTGGGTGTGAAAAGAGTATCTCCAGACATTACCAAATCTACCCCTCCCATTGAGAACCACTGTTGTAAAACTAAGAACGTTTTTACCACAATACCATTATCACCTAGAAATATTAACAGCAATTCCTGAACATCCATCATAAACTATCTACAGTGTTCAAATCATCCTGATCATGCTACGTAAAAAATTTTTTTACAGGTTTTTCAAAGCAGGTTCCAAATAAGGTGCCCACATTACACTTGGTTGTATGTCTCTTAATTCTCACTTAATCTAGAAATTCCCCTGCCTCTCTTTTCTTTGCAATGGATTCAAGGGGGGGCTACAAATTTTAACTGGTTGATTTGTCTCATAAGTCTATAAAAGTTCTCCCTTTCTGTTTATTTCTTTCTTCCCATTTATTTATGGAAGAGATCAGGCCTTTTGTCCTTTTGAGTTTCCCACAGTCTGGATTTAGCTAACTGTATCCCTGTACTTTATTTAACATGTTCCTCTGGCATCAGTGTTTCATATAATTAATTGGTGGATATAAAAGCTTAATATTTCATAGGTAATGTGTATTCATCAAATCTTATCACTACAGAGACAGAACTGATATTCAGTGTCTACTGATGTGATGCAAAAGGAAGTTTACAAGTACACAGCACCACCTATGATATATTCTTGCCAAAAATAAAAAATAAACCTGAATCCAATCAAACCATAGATTTACCAATCAGTTTATAGGGAACACAGGGATGGAAGAACATGTTAAATAACACCATGGGACATAATCAGTCAAATTCACAGTACAGAAAATTGTACAAGACCAATGACCCACTTGGTTTTTTTGGGCTCCAAAATCACTGCAGATGGTGATTGCAGTCATGAAATTAAAAGACGCTTACTCCTTAGAAGGAAAGTTATGATCAAGCTAGATAGCATATTAAAAAGCAGAGATATTACTTTGTCAACAAAGGTCTGTTTAGTCAAGGCTATGGTTTTTCCAGTGGTCATGTATGGATGTGAGAGTTGGACTATAAAGAAAGCTGAGCACTGAAGAATTGATGCTTTTGAACTATGGTGTTGGAGAAGACTCTTGAGAGTCCCGTGGACTGCAAGGAGATACAACCAGTCCATCCTAAAGATTAGTCTTGAATATTCATTGGAAGGACTGATGTTGAAGCTGAAATTCTGATACTTTGACCACCTGATGCAAAGAGCTGACTCATTTGAAAAGACCCTGATGCTGGGAAAGATTGAGGGCAGGAGGAGAAGGGGATGACAGAAGATGAGATAGTTGGATGGCATCACCAACTCAATGGACGTGGGTTTGGGTAGACTCTGGCAGTTGGTGGACAGGGAGGCCTGACGTGCTGCGGTTCATGGGATCACAGAGTCGGACAAGACTGAGAGACTGAACTGAACTGAATGACCCAGTTTCTATCATAAAGAGGAAGAAAAAAATAAAAAGGGACAAGAAAATGTTATAGACCATAAGAGACCAATTTTAACACATGGACCTCACTTGAATCCTGACTTAAAAACACTAACATTTTAAAAAAGTATATTTATGGGACATTCATGGAAATCTAAACATTTATTGACTATTAGGTGACATTGCAGAGTCAGTGTTAATTTTTTGGTATGATATTGTGGCTACATTTAAAAAAAAAGAATCCTGCCAGAGATATATACTGAGGTAATTATGAATGATACCTAGAATTTGATTTTAAATGTGCCAATAAGGAGGGGGAAGGGTATAAAAAACAGGATTAACCATATACTGCTAATTATTGAAGCTGAATGATTGGTACCTGGGGTTCATTATATCATTCTCTCTACTTCGGTATCTGTTTGAAAGTTTCCATAGTAAAAAGTTTTTTTTTTTAATATCAAGTTCCCCTGGCTATAATGATAGCTTGGAAAGCATCAGAAACTATTCAGGGGGCTCCTGTAGTAGTCCATGTGAGAGGTGAAAGCAGCCTGCACTAGATTACAGTACAAACAGAGAAAAGTAGAATTCAGTAGACATTTGGAAGGTAGAATCGACAGGGTTTGCTAATTCATTATACATGCAAACTGAGAGAGAGAGAGTCAAGGACACTGAAGAGGCAGATTTGGGGAGGAAGGCTGGGGTTTGAGGTACCTGTGGGACCTAACATAGAGATAGCAGCTGAAGTCCTGGGAGAGGAGATACGAAGGATGAGAACCCCACATAAGGAAAGGATGCCTGGGACAGAGCCCTGAGGAACCTCCAGAGTTTATCTGTTCACTGTACAGGAGCTTGTTCTCCATGTATCTTCTCCAGGGGAAGACTGGTAACAGGCAGGGATGGGAGCAGCTGGGAGTGGGGGGTAGAAGATATGCCTGTGTCTGTGTGTGCATATGAGGGGAGAATCTAGATCACAACTCCACCCCCCTTGCCAGCTCACCCTTATTTCCAGACATGGTCTGTCTCCACAGGGCCACCAGATGGGCTGACCCTTTCTCTGGACAGCTGGGAAGATGTCCCCACCCCCAAGGCTGAACCTCACCTTCAGATCCTCACACAGGTCACCGTAGTCAATCTCGATGAGAGCCTCTCGAGCATAGATATTGGAAGTCCGTTGGGAGCCACTCACTGAATCCTCCCCTTGGGAGCTACCCTGCAATAGTGAGAGGGAGAGTCAAATGCAGCTGACTGGCCATAAGAGTACTCCTCTACAGTGAGCTGGAGAGGGGGGCTTCTTGGCAGCCTCTGAGAAGCACCTTGATAGAAAGCACTTGTGGTAGAAGGAAAAGCAGCTTTGATGGCAGAAAGACCTGAGTTCAAAATTGGGCTCTGCCACTGACTAATGGTGTGAACTTGGGCAAGACATGCTGTTGCTTAAATCCTCATTTAAACACACAAACCCCCATCTGTAACATGGGACCATGACTGCCTGGCAAGGCCGTGCTTAGGATTAGAAGTATGTATATCATGTGCTACCATGATGCCTGGCACACTGCCAGTGTTCAGATTTTGCTGAAATAAATGGAAATGCTATTTAGGAAGAAAGGAGGGAGAAAGACATGTGGGACTGAGATACATGTTCAGGTCAAAGACAAGATATCTGCAGACCTCTTCTCAGTTAACAGTCCTGTCCCCTTGCTATCAAGCCTCACTTCCAGTGGATAAAATGCTTTGGCTATTCTATTGGCTCGTGTCTTTCCCTTTCCCATAACTATGCTTCATCACCTTTGCATTGCTGCTGTCCCCTACCTAACCTTCTCCTGACCAACCTCTCTCACTGCTAAGTTACCATCCCTTAGGGCCCTCAACTTCCATCTTCTTTTGCTCTTGGGATGAGATGGTTAGATAGCATTACCAACTCAATAGACATGAATTTGAGCAAACTCTGGGAGATAGTGAAGGACAGTGAAGCCTGGCATGCTGCAGTCCATGGGGTCGCAAAGAGTCGGACATGACTGAACGACTGAACAACAACCAATATCCATAATCTGCTCAACTATCTTAGTTCAGGTCCCTGAGGTTAATGAATGATTTCCTCTTCTACTGGCTTACCTCCTTCTCCACTTACTGACAGAGACCCTACCCCCAACAACTGCCCTCTCACATCAAGGCTATTACCTTTCACCTCACCTGTCTTCACAGCCTCACCCTGCCTCATCTCCTCTGCATCCCTCCTTTTGTCACTCACCACCCTCACCCACCATCCTTCTCTCTCTCACCTGCCCTCCCTGGCCACCTTCATCCCCCATCCCTGGTTATGTTGTTCACAGCCCACACCCACCACCAGCCATGATACTCACCTCTTCCTGACTAATATCATCCATGGTGCCCTTAGACAGTGGCAACTTGATGTCCTGCATCTTGCAGGCCTGTAGCAAGTTGTGGCGGTCACTGCGCTTCTGTTCAAGCTTGGTCTCAATGGCTGTCACCTCCTTCTGTAAATGGGTCATTTCCCTAAGAAGATTCAGGGAGATAGGTGAGATCCAAATCCAGCAAGCTGCCCATACTATGTACTTCAGCCAAGCCCAGATCTGAACCCACTCACTTGTTGGCGCCCCCCAGTTTCTTACGAATCTCCTCCATCTCATGGTTCTTGTCATTCACCTCTGACTTCTTGGCCAGGTGCTGGTTCTTCAGGTCTTGTAGCTGCGCCATGGTCTCATCTATGATCTTCATATGTCTTTGCTCCTCCTGAGCCCAGCAGGGGGAACAGGACAAGAAGTGAAGGCTTTCCCTCCATTCCCACTGGAATGGAATGGAATCTTCTCCCTCTGTGCCCACCCTTTCTACCAGGTAGTTTCTTGGAATCTATCTTCAATGAGCTCTGCTTTTACAAACCCCCATCACTCCTCTGGCTTCTTTTACCTTTTTCCAAATTATTTTGTTGATCTTCCCCCAACCCCAATATACAAACTGCCTGCTGTAGAAATGTTCAAAGTATAAAAAAGTATGAAATAGGAGGAAAAAAAGAAATTACTTGAATCCCACCAGGCAGAGGTAACCAATTAACATTTAGCCTATCACCTCCCAATATTACTTATGGATAAGTCTATATAATTGAGACTAAATTATAATTCAGTCAGTATTCTGACTTAATGTTATTTAAGCATCTTTTTCACATCAACATTACTGTCACGAGCAACAACATCAATATTTTTAAAAAGCATAATACTGTATGTTTTCCATAAGTATACTTATAAGAGGACTTCCCTTGTGACTCAGCTGGTAAAGAATCTGCCTGCATTGCAGAGACCTGGGTTCAACCCCTGGGTTGGGAAGGTTGCTGGAGATGGGAAAGGTTACCACTTCAGTATTCTGGCCTGGAGAATTCCATGGACTGTACAGTCCATGGAGTTGCAAAGAGTCGGACATGACTGAGCGACTTTCACTTTCACTTTTCACACATATAAGAATGTAATTAATGCCTATAAAGTCTGGGAGAATACATTCTATATGGGATTGGCCCTAGGAAGAGTAAAAGGACTGGGATTGAGAGTGGTCAGTCAATGGGGATTATAATCTTAGTTATTATGTTCTGATTTTTTTTTTTTAAGGAGACCGTTTTCATTTTGATCTGAAAGTCACAGAAGGGGATATACCTGTAATGCATAAGAAATAATATGTATACAGAGTGCAAATGCTAATACAGCAAATAATGATTGATGAATCTTGGTGACAGGTAGATGGGAGTTCTTAGTACTATTTTTGCAACTTTCTGCTAAATTTAAAATGATTTCAAAATAAAGTCAAAAAGAAATAAATGATTCTGGATCATCTACATGTCTACCTACTCCTGCCCCAGGATTTTACTACCCAATCTCTATTTGCATTGAAGATTGCAGTGACACCAAAGAAGACTACTTCAATCATCAGGGTTTAATGGAGAAAAACAAAAAACAAAAAACAAAACCATACAACCAATAACAAAGGCAGACATAAAAATCAAATGATATACTTAAGCCAAGTGAGAATCAAATCACCTCAGGTAGGGATGTGGCAAGGAACTAAAGTTTCACAGCAGTTTAGGGAATTCCCTGGTGGTCCAATGGGTGACTCTACACCCCCAGGGCAGGGGGCCTGGGTTCGATTCCTGGCCAGGGAACTAGATCCCAAGTGCCACAACTAAAGATCCTGCATGCCCTAACTAAGACCTGGTGCAGCCAAAGAAATTTAAAAAAAATGTTCCACAGGAATTTAAAGAGAAGGGGTGTGGGTAAATGAGTCGTCAAAGAACTGGTGGAACAGGCATGCTTGACTCAAAGAAACTGAGCCATGGCAGTCAGCACAGGCACACTGTGAAAAGGAATTCAGTATCAGCAAAACACCATCACCTGTTGCACTGAGTTAATGTGGTTAATTATAAAATTAATTTGGAAGTTTGTCCTGGCTTTTTGGTTAAGTGGTATGTTTGTTTTTAAGGATATTTTAAGCCAACATAAATCTTTAAAAGAGGTCAGTATATTACTCAAATATGAAACTATTAAACTACACAAATACTTACATGAATGTAGCATAATTTGCTTCAATCCTAATTCCCAGGAGACACGGGACAGTTTCCTATATGGAACTATAAATATTTGTCACTAATTATCAACCTGTGTGCACAAAGCTATGCCAGCACTTTGGACCTCCTCAGGTATTAGTTAGGAGAAATGTATTCTGAAGACTCTCAATGGATGCTGCCACATGGCCTAAGAATGCTGGTCTTGTGCAACATGCTAGTATCCTTTTTTTTAAAAAAAAAAAAATCTTGGGTGATGTGATAAGAAACAAATTACACGTAATTATTGTTTTAATTTGCATTCCTTTGAATTCTACTAAGGCTCAATTATGGATATGTGTTTATGGGTTATTTGAATTTCTCCTTGAACTGTTGATGCCACTCATTTTTCTATTTAGGTCTTGGTGTTTTTCTTATTTAGAGGACTTTATAAATTATGGATATTATCTCTTCTAATTTTTTCTCCTAGTTTTTAGTTTTTCATGTTCTCCTTTCTTACCTTCTTGAGCTTTTCTATCTCATTTTCATCTTTTTTCACTGTCTGCTCCCACATGTGTACTTTATCCTGGTCCTCCTTCAGTTGGTTCTTTTCAAAATCCAACTGGATACCCAAACGAGTCTTCTGATTCTCAAACTCCAAACTGTGGGGAGAAAGGAGAACTAGGCCGAGGGCACAGGGACTCAGTTACTGCTGAATATAAGTCACCACTGAGCTCATCCACACAGATCCATATAAAACCGTCCCCTCAAGTTACAGAACTAAGTTCCCTGGCCTAGCTTTGTAGGTATGGCACAAGGCAGAGGAGATTGGGCCAAACTCCATTAATCTTCTTTTAAACACTGGAGCCCTTCCCCGACAAGTTCCTAGAAGCAGATATAAAAAGGTCCACTTGAATCCACTAGCTATGTTAATTCCTATTTATTAAGCTTCTGTGTATTTACATTACATTACCTCTAATCCTCTAACAAATAGCTCTACAAGGCATTATTATCCTCAATTTACAAAAAAAAAGAAACTTTCACCAAGAGGTAAAAGACTTTGCCCAAGGCCATACAGCTAGCAAATGTGAAATCAGATCCCAGTCTAAACACCAAAACCTGGGATTCTTCTCCTATGGCATCCTTACAATATAATGTGGTAGGATAAGAGGACTGGTATCCCAACTCTGCCATTTACTGGTAGTGAATCTCAGACAAGTTAATTATATCTCTTTACCTGTTTTCTCAACTGAAAAATGGAAATAACAATAGTACTTACCTCAGTCATTGGGAATTAATACATATAAAGTCTTTAGAACCTTGTCTGGTACAGTAAGTACTCAATAAATTTTAGTTATAATCACCATCTCTAGGTTGACTGACTGTATTCAGTTCATGGGCTTTGACTCTTTCCAACTCCCCAAACCCCTGCACATACCTCTGCCCCAAGATTCCAGAACTTCTATGGGGGCAGAGATTGGATAGTTAAAAAAAAAAATGGAGAAAACAGATCCCTGGTAGTTCCCTCCTCACTAACTCTTTAGAAATTATAAAAGTATGCAACTAGCATACACAGATATTAGCAGGACAGGCAGGGCTAACTTCCAACTGCCCCTCCACCCAATATGGTGTGACAGATGTTGCCAGATGTCATGCTAGCAGCTTAAACCTATTAGTCACTATAATCCAAATAGAATGTAATTAACTCTATAATTTTGAGCTATGCAATTTTAAGTTCAATCTCTTAAGAATGACTCATAAAGCCTTCTGTGATCTGGCCCCTGCTGACCTTTCCAACACCCCCACCTTCCTCCTGACCCCATTTTTCTGCTCCAGACATTTAATACTTAGTTTACAGAACAAGGCATGCTCTCTCACACCTCTGAGCATGCTGTTCTCACTGCTTGGAACTCCCTTCTGTGTACTGCCTGGCTGGCTAAATCACTTTACAGGTCTCCAGTTCATCACTCCTTGTTCTGTAAAACCTTTCCTGAGGATTGCGAACAGGTTCTTTGTTTCTATTATACTTTGTTGGGTTCCTCCCTTTTGGGTGCAGTTGAGTTAATCATACCCCAGAGTTCATATAACTTTTATGATCACTGTCTGTACAAGACCTTTCTCTTGTCTCCTTGGGTTCAATCAGATTTCTACTCCTATTATGTTCCCTACAAATACATACACTGAATGTATTTACAAATACATTTAAAAATACAAAATACATGTATTTACAAATACAAATGTGTTTACAAATACAAATACAAAGCAAATACATTATATACAGATAGGTAGACATATACATATGTATATAACCTTAAAATGCATACTTGTAATATGTCACTTTTAAATTTACACAAAAGTACAGTGTCATAAATTTATCCTTGTTACTGCCTGTAAATCTAGTTGCTGTCTGAACAGAGTATTCCATAGTCTGTACAGTCATCACATTTAACTTGTATTTCCCTGCAGTGACAGCTGTCTACATTGCTATGAACGTCACACTATCACAAAGTACGCCAAGGTGAACAACTCTGAATTTGTCTCTTTGAGATCCGGTGGCCAAAACTCTCTCTGGGATACAGACCCAAGGAGTGGCTTTGCTAAGTCAAAGGGCTCATGTAGACTTGTTTTCACCAAATGCTGCTAGGTTGTTTTAATTTGCATTTATTTGATTAGGAATCAGACTGAACATCAACTCACAGCTATTAGCCATTCGAGCTTCTCTTTCCATGAAATGCTATATATGACTATATCCTGTCCGTTCTTCTACTGGGTCTCTAGGTTTGTTTTTTTTCTTCCTGTTGATTTACAGTTCCTTGAACATTTTCCTCTGTACTTTCTATCTACCTAAAAGTACAGCATCATTCTGAAATTGCTAATCTACTTGTTTGTCTCCTCCACTACCCCAAAACTCCCTCAGGACAGGGACAGTCTCTGATTCAATTCTATATCCCTTGAGCCTGGCTTGGGGGTAGGAGACTAGTGAACTGTTACAATATGGGTGATGGGCTGATTAAGCCCAGGATTCAAGGGGTGACCTCCTTCAGAGAGACTGTCATGTTCATCTATCTTACCCTCATCTTCCCACTGTTTCCAATACCTAGCACAGGACAACTTGGCACAAGGTTGGTTGAACAAATGAATAATTAAACTGGGAAAGAAGAGAACTTGCTTTGTTCTTACTATTCTTCCAACCTAGAACTTTGGCCCTCCTCACACTCATCACCTATGAGGATAATGACAATAATAAAAGTATCTATTGGGAGTTCCCTGGGTGGTTCTAGTGGTTAGGCTTTCACTGCTGTGGCCTATTATCTGCTGCTCTTAGTAGGTGCTAAGTATCATGCTAAATACTTTATAAGGATTAAGCCCAACCTCTGAGCCACCTGACAATCTATGAGATAGGTATCATTATTATCCCATCTGACACATAAGGAAACTGGGGCTTAGAGAGGTAAAGGAACCTTGAAGCTAGGATTTTAATCCAGGTAAACCATGTTTAAAGCTGGCACTCTTAATCCCTATACTGTGACACATGCTTCCCTGATGTCCCTGTTCTTTAAAGGTGACTACAATAAATGTCCATCATTCTAAAAGCTGCTCCGTACCTTATGATGGCATTTGACTCCCCAGATGTCAGGCTAGGGGCTCAAGGATACCTCAATCTCCCCCTTCTACCCAGACTTCCACCTACCGCTTCTTGGCGATTTCATTCTGCCGCTTCACCTTCTCTTCCTCAAACTCCCGGATATTGCGCACACCAATCTCCCGACAAAACTCTTCAAATACCTCATCCTCTACCTAAGGAGAGAAGCAAGGGAGAGAAAAGGCCCTTTGGGTCAGAGTACTGCTTCCAATCCTAGTCCTGCCCGTGCTGGGCAGGTCCATCCTCTACCAACCTGGTTCATCTTCTCCTTTAAGTCTTTCATTTCCCTCTCTCGGCTCTGGATGATCCTCTTGATATCATTGATTCGAGGCCCAAAGTTGGCTAGCTCACTCTCCAGCTTGGACTTTTCCTGTAAGAAACGGAGTTGAGAGGACAAAAGAGACCAGGATCCTTAGAGAAAAAAAGAGCCACCCTGTGTGTACCAGTCCCATGGACAAAAAGGGCTAACTCTCCACATACAGAACCTGAGTTAGCACTGCTCCACTCAAGGCTGCATCATCTCTCACTTGAACCATCATATGGCTTCCTTCCCTGGCCTCCAGTCTGCCAGCTTCAATCCAAAAGACTGGGCACACAATAAACATCGTTATTTACAGGTCTACACTTCCCTCATCTATAACCCCTGGGGCCAGGTGTGTCCTGGAATTTAGACTTTTTGATTTTAGAAAAATGACATATATACTACATATTACATAACACCTCCAGAGTGGTCTGGAGAAGGACCTATAATCAAACACATTAATATAGCTAGAAAAGTACCTCCACTCACAGGGACTGAAATATCTGTAGCTCACTTTCAAAACTCAGAAGAAACGCAAATATTTGTTGAATGAATTAGGTTAATAGCACCTAACATTTACTGAACATTCACTTGGTACAAGCAATCAGTCTAATACTTCACATGTATTAACTCATTCAATCTGTGCAAGGACCCTATAATTCTACAGATTATTTACAGATTAAGATGAAAAAATAGATACTGAGGTTTCTTTGTTTTTGTTTGGTGTTTGTTTCATTTTGTTTTTTGAGTATCTGTAATACATGCATTCGAAAAAGACGTTTCTGGAATATATTTTTCAAAAAACTCTTACAAACCAATATAAAAATGAGCAAAAGATTTGAACATTGAGAGGTTTAGTAACTTGCCTAATATCATAGAGCCAAGTCCTAAACCCCTGACTGTCTAACTCTATGCCTTCTATTCCTGATTTCCAGGAACAGACTGGGAGGAGAGACGGAAGAGGGACAACTTCCCCACCCCTAGAAAAGCCTAGACCAGGAATATGAGGATGGCCATTGGTGAACAGGGCTGAAGGTCAGGCCCCACCTGCAGATTAAGGGCCAGATGCCGTGTCTTGGTCTGTTCTAGGTCACTCTGTGAGTACTTGAGCCGCATCTGCAGTCCGTGGGCCTGAGACTGCACCTGACGTAGTTCTGCCTCTTTTCGCTTTGCCTTCATCTGCTCCTGAAGTGGACAAGAGGGAAAGGCTAAGTGGTAAGAAGGTGGCTGGCTGGCCTGGGCTTAGGACCCCCATTCCTAGGGACAGCCCTGCCTGTGGTTTACCTTCAGCTCTTCTGTCAACCGCTCCTTCTTCTCTTTCAACTTGTCTACTGCTTTCTCATCCCAGCGTCGGGCCTTGGCCTTCAGGTCACTGGCCCCGCCAGAGATCACCCCTGACTTCTGGAACAGGGTCCCATCCAGTGCCACTGTCTAAATACAGCAGGGAAAAGACAGGAGGGGGGAGAAGCTGAACAAAGGAATCGCCAATACTAAGCCTATCCAGTTACAATGTGGCAAAGGAATCCACACCTTGTGGCGCTGGTGGCCTCCAAAGGCTATGCGGCGGGCATCCTCCACATTGTCACAAACAAGGGCATTGCCACAAGCATACTGCAGGGCCTTTTTGATGTGAGGTGGCTCATAGCGAATCACATCAATCACCAGCTTTGCCCCCTTTAGCTCCCGGAGTTTCTCATCTGTAGGTTTTACCTGTGAGAAAAAGCTTAGTTAAGTGGCTGAACATGGAGGGCTAGGAGGAGCAGCCCTCTCACAATGCCTTGGCCCCATCACCACCAGCCTCACCTCCAGGTAATCAAGAGGTAAGAAAGTCTCAGGCTCCCCACGCTGCTCCTTGATATACTGAATGCAGTCCCGGCCTGTCTTCTCTGAGTCCACAATAATGGCATCCATATTCTTGCCCAAAACCTTGGTTACTGCAATCTGATACTTCTTTTGTGTGGGCTGGCAGAGGTCAATGAGGCGGCCGTACTAAGGAAAGTCAGAAGAGTGAAGCATGAAGTTTTTGAGAGCTGGCTCAGGAACCCTAATTCCCAACTTAGAAGAGGGATGGCAGGTCAGAATCTCTATCAGGAGCACAGCCCCCAAACTACGGAAAAAAGGCCTACTCTGGCCCCAAAGCAACAACAACTTCAGGCAGTCATGTCTGAATCCAGAATCATCTTTCTAAACCTCACTTTTACCATTTCACAGACCACTGCCACCGCAGGCATTATGCAACTTAATTGGGTTCCACAAATAAAGAGCACAATAAATGCAATGCACTTGAATCATCCCACATTACGTTTATTGTGCACTTTATTTCTATTATTATTATATCAGCTCCACCTCAGATCATCAGGCATTAGATACTAGAGGCTGGGGACCCTTGAACTAGAAATGATCAAGAAATATTTGTAGAACCCAATTAAGTTGAACCCAGGGATGGAATTACAGCAATAGAGGGATAATATTCAGGGAATCTGGGAACTCAGGATTTCGTTCAAGAGGCCAAGAGATCTGATAAAACCTAGTAAATGAGCCGACTGTTGTATGTCTAAGGAGCTCACACTGAAGCCTGCACAGAGCTATTGATACATCCTGGGAACTAATTTCTGCCCTGCAGCCCCTTCCCTTTCCCAAAGGCCTCTTCACTTTCTCCACCTCCCATAAAGGAGTGGACACAAGCAAGACAAAACTTTCAGAAAGATACAACTGGTGTGACGAAAAGAACACAAGGTTAAGAGTCAGAACAAGTTGGGTTTGAATTGCAGTTCTTACACATGTAAGCTATGCTGTTTTGAGCAAGTCATTTAACCTCTCTGACCTTCAGTTCTCCCCAGTTGTAAGAATGGGATTAGCAATCCTGTCCTCATGGGGCTGCTGGGAAAATTATCTGACAGTGAGTATGAAAGAAAGTGGTCAGGAAATGAGTTCCCTTTCCACTCTTACCACAGAACCAGGGTACAGGCGCTTGATGCTTTCCATAATTTCTGCCTTTCGCTGTTGGCGGCTGCTCTCCTGGCGGTCGATGCGGGCATCCCCCAGCTGCTCCATTACCTGGTTCAGCTCCTTGTTAATCTCATCAATACGTCTCTTGGCCATCTCCACCTCCTCTGTCAGCTCCCCCTCTAGTTTCTTCTGTTCCTCTAGAGACTGCCTACAAAGTAAGGAAATACCAGGGTTATCCTGGCTGGCCAGAAAATATTCCTGGCCGAGAGGGACTATGAGGGTCCTTCCTGGCGAGGGGCAGGACAGGTAGGGTTCACAAGAACAGGCCTGGAGGTAAGAGGGAATGTTACAAAGCCACATACTTGCTGGTTGTGATGTATTCCTCTAGTTTCTCAATCCGTTTCTGATTCTCTTCAATCTCCCGCAGCTTTTGCTTGATCTTGGCCTGGGAGTGAAACAAAGACACTACATCACCATAGGCTGAGCAAGTTAAGGCCAAGACCATGGAGCCCTGGCTCATCCCCCATATGCCTACTCATCCTAAGAGCCTAACAATCACAGACAATCTGTCACTAGTATAAGAGGCCTATTAAAAATCAGATATACAGTGTTCAGTGTGCCTCTGCTAACTGATGGGGCCAGCATGGGCCCTATGAGACCCTCTCACAGGTGTTCTACCCAGCCTGGAACATCTTCCTCACCAATCAGGGAGGCTCAAACCAAGACAAAGTAAAGCTTTCTGGGCCTTTCTGCACTTCTGCTTTCTCATCTATAAAATGCAGGTAACCTCCACTTCATAGAATACACATTAAGTCCTTAACATGTATTAGCCACTAATTCTATGTGTGTGTGCACTCAATTGCTCAGTCATGTCCTACTCTTTGTGGCCCCATGGACTCTAGCGTGCCAGGCTCCTCTGTCCATGGAATTTTCCAGGCAAGAATACTGGAGTGTGTTGCCATTTCCTACTCCAGAGGATCTTTCCGACCCAGGGATTGAACCCTTATCTTCTGAACTGGCAGGTGGATTCTTTACTACTAGTACTACCTGGGAAGCCCCTAGCTATTAAATACTAATAAAATAGCTATTAATGCCTAATACCTTCTTTTAAACATTTAAAACTGCTTAGCACAATGCCTGGAACACTGTAGGCTCTTGGAATATTACAATAACTTTCCATTATTCCTATTATTTTACTATTATTATTATTAGGAAGACAGTAAGTGAAGTATACTTGAAAGTGTGGGCTTCCAGGACTTACCTGGTGGTCCAGTGGCTAGGACTCTATCCTTCTACTGGAGGGGGCGCAGATTCAACCCCTGGTCAGAGAACTAAGATTCCACATGCCACAAGGTGCAGCCAAAAAAACCCAAAAAAGTGTGGGCTACACTGCCCAGGTTCATATCCCAGTTCCGCCAGTTAATAACCTTAGGCAGGGACCTCCCTGGTAATCCCGTGGTTAAGAATTCACCTGCCAATGCAGGGGAGAGAGGTTCGATCCCTGGTCCAGAAGATCCCACATGCTGCAGAGCAACTAAGCCCATGTTCCACAACTATTGAGCCAGCATTCTGGAGCCCAAGAGCCACAACTATTGAAGCCCATGGGCCCCAGAACCCACGTGCTGCAAAAAGAGAAGCCATTGCAATGAGAAGCCTGAGCACTGCAACTAGAGAAAGCCTGCAAGCAGCAGCTAAGAACCAGGACAGCCAAGAACAAAACAGACAAATAAATAAATCTTTTAAAAGATGACTGCATATATGTAAAAAACAGTGCCTAGCACACAGTAAGAGCTTGCCTTTTGTTGTTTAGTCGCTGTGTCCAACTCTTTTGAGATCCCATGGACTGTAGCCCGCCAGGCTCCTCTGTCCATGGAATTTCCCAGGCAAGAATACTAGAATGGGTTGCCATTTCCTTCTCCAGGGGAATGCTCCTGACCCAGGGACCAAACCTGTGTCTCCTGCATTGGCAGGCAGATTCTTTACCACTGAGCCACCAGGGAAGCCCCATGCTAGATGTTAACTATGATCATTACTGTCAAGACTATCATTACTTCCATTTCTCTGGACCATCACCCCTAATCTTCTAAGGCATGCCCACCTCTGTCTCTACTTTCTTCCGTTCTTCCAGATCCAGCCGGTCCTGGTCGGCCTTCTGGTCTCGATTGAACTTCTCCAGCTCCTGGGCCAGGGTAGCTGCTCTCTTGCTGGCTTCTTCTTTCAACCGGTGATATTTCTTCACCTGTGTCAGGGACAGGGATGACCAAATCAGTCCTGACAGCCTAGCAATCTATTTGCCCATCCCTCCACCCCTCAGAGCTTACCTGATTCTCCTCCAAGGTCAAATCTCTGCCCTGACTCTGACTTTCCTCTTCCATCCGTTCCTCAAATTCCTGCCGAGCTTTCTCCACTGACAGCATCTCCTTTTCCAGCTCATCCATGTCACCTTTACGCTTCTTATAATGCTTCTGAGCATTCTGTAGTGACTTTTTGGCTGCTTCCAGCTTCTTGATTTTGTGGGAAGTATTTTCCTTGGCCTTGATGTACTGAGGCCGCTTCTGGTTCAGCTCTGAGTCCTTCTCCCTTTCACCAGAGGGGAGGGGGAACCAATTAGCTCAGTGGGAGAAGGGAGGGTTCCAAGGCTTTTTAATCCAAAGGGGGATTAGGCACTTCCCTTCTAAGCCTCAAGGAAGTGCCTAAAAGAACAGGGCCAATGCCCCACAGATCCTGTGATGGCTGCAGCCTGGCATTCCAGCCACTCTAGAAGGTAAAGCTACCACCCCTGCCTCAACCCTAGCCAGGCCAGACCTCTTGGTAACAACTCCCAAGAGTACCCTGTGTTCACGTAACTGTTCCCCATCTGATCTAACCTTTTCAAATTTCTGTTCTTTGACCTTCAAGCTCCACTTTTCCTCTTCTAGGAAGGGACTATCAGTCACGAGTGGCTTCCCATCACTTCTTCTTGGCAAAGCCACCACCCTTTTCAAGTTCTCCTCTTCTGAGTACCTATCTACATGGAGTCTGAGTACTTAAATACTCTATTTGTCTAACATGCAAGTCAAGAAATATGCCTAATTCTAGCCAAAGCCAAGTCAAGTGGAAGATGCTTTCCACAAGTCGCAGGCTCAGTCCTGCCACTTACTTGATCTCCTTCTCAATCTGCTGTTGTTCCCGCATCATTTTGCCCAGCTCCTTCTTTTTCTCCTTCAGCTCATCCTCTACCTTGTCCATCCGCTTCTTGTCCTTCTCTATCTCCTTGTTCTTAGAGGCCAGTTCTTTGTTGAGCTTCTCAATTTCCACTTCATTATGATAAAGTTTGAAAAGCTGCAACTGTACCTGAGCTCGCACCACCTCATCCTTCAGGCGCTGGTAGCGGTCAGCCTATGCAAATAGGGGTGTGGAGGCAGGGGTGCATCAGTGAGGCACTGGCTTCATCCTGGCCTCTCAGATCCCAGAGGCAACCTGGCCACCTACCTCTTCTTTTTCTTGTTTGGCCTCCTTGCGTTCAGCTGCAATGTTTTTTTTGCGATGGTAATTAAACTGTGTGTCCTCTTCAGCTTTTACCATTTCCTTTTTTCGCTTGTCATATTCCTGGGCCAGCTCCCCAGAGCGACTGATCTCTTCAAAAAGAGCTGTCCTCTCTTTGGGGTTCTTCATGGCAATAGATTCCACAGCACCCTAGTAAAAGTCAAAACACTCTCCCACTTAGACCCTACTCAGTTCAGTTCCCCTACCCACTCCATCATTCAGAAAATGTTCACTTATCCCTTCCCCACACTGGGTGCCACATTTCACCACTGAGCTTTGAGGACATCCCCTGTCTTTTAAGGTACATGGGGAACAGAAGAAATAGAAGCAGAGACAACACCATGTATTATGTGCAGTGATAGCAGGAGCACATAAAAAGAACTAAATGAAGCTTGAGGGTAGATGACCAGTAGGAGTATCTATGTGGGAAGGTTTCCCAAAGGTGACAACGGTGACTGGAAGATGGGGAAAAAACTAAACAAAAAAAGAGAGACGAGGTTATTCCACATAGAGGAAAATTAGCATTGCAACGTCTGCAGGCCAAAGAAAGCAGGCAAATTTGGGGAACTGTAAAAAGTTTAATTAGGCTGGAGTGCAGGGCTAGAAGAATATTGGCAGATGAGGGTAGTGAGGTGAGCAAGAGCCAAAGCAGGGCTGTTTCATGAATGACAGGAGTTGGATTTCATGCTAAGGTAACAGTTCTCAAATTTTAGTGTGCATCATAATAACCTGGAGCTCTTGGAAAAACACAAACTGCTGGGCCTCACCCCACAGTCTCTGCCCCTATCGGTCTGGGGTAGGGCCTGAGAATGTGCAATTCTAACATGTCCCCAGTTGATGCCAATCTGGCGACTACAATTTAAGAACTGCCATCAAACGGCAATGAGAAATCACTGAAATGTTTTAAGAGGAAGGAATATTTGTGCTCTCATAAGATGAATCTTAGGGGATGAACAGGAGGGGGTCAGACTGGAGTCAGGAAGCCCAGTGAGGAAGCTGCTACATTAGTTCAGAGAGAGGTGGTGAAGCCAGAGATGGAGCAAGTCCAGTGGGGATAGGAAAAAAAGTAGATAGCCAACAACTGTTAAAAGTGCCCACCTAAAGAGAAGCCACCACAATGAGAAGCCTGCATACCAGACAGGCACACACACACAGCAGGTCCCGCTTGCCCAACAAGAGAAAAGCCCAAACAGCAACAATCATCCAACACAGTCAAAAAAAAAAAAGCCCACCTGGAAGACGAGGAAGTTACGAGCTTTGATAAGAATGCCCAACTTCTCTAATTCCTCACTGTACTCATGTAGCTGGACCACTTTGTTGTTAATCTTGTACTCAGAGGAACCTCCTACAAGACAATGCATCAGTTAGCCAAGGGTCAGGCCTCCCTCCTACCCAACAAACTAGTCTAGCCACCCCTGTGGACCCAAGGAGAACCTTCTGGGCAGCCTCACCCACCTACAATGACACGGGCAAATGTGCGGTCCTCAGCACCCTCTTCAGAGTAGACCATGCTGACAAAGGCTCGGTTGGCTGCTGGTTTGCCCACAGGAGCTCCGTGGATCAGGTCCCTTAGGGTCTTTACCCGCAGGTTGCTGGTTTTCTCACCCAACACAAAGCTGATGGCATCCATGAGATTTGACTTACCTAAAGGAGGACATGACAAAGTAGAGGAGGGGAAATAAGGGGAGGGGAAAAGGAATAAAAGAAACACTGAGAACAGAAATGTCCTCTCTTAAACTGTCAGGAGGACAAAATACTGTTTTGCCCCTGTAAAGACTGGGCCTGACCAAAGCCCTGGCTCAAAGGTTTAGAAAAATAGCTCCTTTGAAGCTATTACTTACAATAGCCAAAAACTAGAGCCCCATTTAAGGAAATAATATATTCACAAAATAGATCATTCTACAAATTTTTTTTTGGCCTTACTGCAAGGCATGTAGGATCTTCGTTCCCCAACCAGGAATTGAACCCACATTCCCTGCATTGGAAGTGCAGGGTCCTAACCACTGGACTGCCAGGGAAGTCCTCTACAACCTTTGATGATATGGGAAGATGCCCACAAACAGGAGAAACAAGCATGATAAAAAAACTCAACATAGTTTGATCTCAACCAAGTTTAAAAACAAACAAACAAACAAACAAACAAACAAACAACACAGGGGATGAGGGAAGTAGGAAAATGCAGAGCTGTTGTTTGACAAGTATAGTCCTTTGCAAGATGAAAAAGTTCAGAAGACTGGTTGCACAAAAATGTGAATATATTTAACACTAGTGAATTGCACACTCAGAAACGGTGAAGATGAAATTTTACGTTATGTGTATTTTAACATTTTTAAAAAGGCATGTCTTTATAGTGATACATGAAGTACACAGCATCACTATGAAATGTGTTTCCAAAAATATTCAACCTCAATCTAAACAGCCCTTTAGACCTACGCCCCCCAGTTTATAAGAAATAGATCATCTAGAGAAACATGGTACATGACAGCATGAGGAAACCTTAAGGCAAACACAGAATGTGGAATGTTCTACAAGACAACTCTTTTTAAAAAGTCAATGTCTTCTGGGGAGGACCATTCCAGAACATAAGGGATTACTCAGCTTCCCTGGTGGCAGAGTCAGTAAAGAATCTGCCTGCAATGCAGGAGACCCAGGTTTGATCCCTGGGTTGGGAAGATCCCCTGGAAAAGGGAATGGCAATCTACTCCAGTATTCTTGCCTGAAAAGTCTATGGACAGAGGAGCCTGGCGGACTACAGTCCATGGGGTCGCAAAGAGTCAGACAGGACTGAGCAACTAACATTTAGCTGACTTTCCTTTCCCTCACCTGGAAAATCTTAAAAACATGACTCAATGGGTAAGCACATAGTTCTCTGTGGGAGTGGCAGCAGCACAGGTGTATCAGGCACAGGTTGTGATCCTGGCTCTGAGAATTAAGTGTGCAGGTGATCACAACCTGTTGTGCCTCAGTATTCTCATCTATAAAACAAAGATGACGGTACCTCCCTCCTAGGGTCACTGTGAGAATTTAAATGTAAAATGTCCCAAAAAGTAAAGTACTGATACTTGTCACATAGTGGGGGCTCAATAAATGGCAATCCTATCCTATCCAAACCAGGTCTGGACTCTTAGCTTGGTTTCCCTCATCACAGCAGGACTAGCACAACATGCAGATGAGGAGTCAGTCTTTTAGGCAACCCATTTCCAACCTTTGGGCTTTTCCCCTGCTCTCCAAGGATGACAAGAACATCACACAATCAAAGGCCTCCCTACCTGCAACCATTCAATATTGTAAACATTTTTACAACATGCATTATGATCTGAACAATGATAAAATGTTTCAAGGAATGTTCTTGGGGAACTCCACAGGCCAATGATGAAAATACCAAAATATATACCATGAATTCAAGAGAGAATAAAAGTTAACATGTACCAGGTGTCTAGAGCAGAAATTCACTGAAGGGAATCAAGGCAAGTCTTGTGAGTTGCACACTAAAGAACAGGTAAGGGAGGGCCAGTCAGACCAAGGGGTTTTTTTGGAACACTTGCGCATACAAATTTACCCATGTTGAAGGGACTGAATGCCAAGAGGTGTATCCCAGCTCTTTCCACAGGGGCCACCACACCAAAACCCTAAGAAACTGCAATGGAACCCCAAGCATTAGCCATCTAAGAAGATGGGGGGAAGTGGAGTGGTTTTGCCTCTCCCCCCAGGGGACACCTGGTAATGTCTAGAGACATTTTTGATTGTCACACCTGAGTCACGGGGGGTGGTGCTACTGTCACCTAGTGGGTAAAAGCTAAGGAAGCCACTAAATACCCTACAATGCACAGGATGGACTCCAGAGCAAAGAATTATCTCACTGGAAATGTCAACAGTGCTGCTATAGAGAAACCCTGCTTAATTGAGAGCGAAATCTAGGCAAGTCTCCAGGGAAGGTCATCAGTTAGAGCTACTTCAGCAAGGTCAGTCCCTCAGGCTAGGAAGTGATTTAGCTAGAACACCTCTGAGGTGGAGGAACACAGCAGGATTCCAAATAGATAGTTAATTTGGGCAGACAGGAAGAATCCTTGGTGTATGATTTAGAGACAGGGAATTTAGATATGAAATAGAGATTTTACCTGACTACCCTTTCTTCCTTTTTCCTTTCCCCCCCAGTTTTAACAAGATATAACAGTTGAGCTATTTCAAATCCTAAAAGATGATGCTGTTGAAGTGTTGCACTCAATATGCCAGCAAATTTGGAAAACTCAGCAGGGGCCACAGGACTGGAAAAAGTCAGTTTTCATTCCAATCCCAAAGAAAGGCAATGCCAAAGAATGTTCAAACTACAACAATTGCACTCATTTCACATGCTACCAAAGTAATGCTCAAAATTCTCCAAGCTAGGCTTCAACAGTACATGAAATGAGAACTTCCAAATGTTCAAGCTGGATTTAGAAAATGCAAACGGAACCAGAGATCAAATTGCCAACATCTGTTGGATCATAGAAAAAGCAAGAGACTTCCAGAAAAATACCTACTTCTGCCTCATTGACTATGCCAAAGTCTTTGACTGTGTGAATCACAACAAACTGGAAAATTCTTCAAGAGATAGGAATACCAGACCACCTTAACTGCCTCCTGAGAAACCTGTATGCAGGTCAAGGAGCAACAGAACCAGAAATGGAACAACGGACTGGTTCCAAATTGGGAAAGGAGTATGTCAAGGCTGTGTATTGTCACCATGCTTATTTAACTTATATGCAGAGTACATCATGCAAAACATCAGGCTGGATGAAGCACAAGCTAGAATCAAGACTGCTAGGAGACATATCAATAACCTTAGATACACAGATGACACCACCTTCATGGGAGAAAACAAAGAACTAAAGAGCCTCTTGATGAAAGTGAAAGAGAAAAGTGAAAAAGCTGGCTTAAAACTCAACATTCAGAAAACGAAGATCATGGCATCCGGTCCCATCACTTCACGGCAAATAGATGGGGAAACAATGGAAACAGTGACAGACTTTATTTTGGGGGGCTCCAAAATCACTGCAGATGGTGACTGCAGCATGAAATTAAAACACGCTTGCTCCTTGGAAGTAAAGCTATGACCAACCTAGACAGCATATTAAAAAGTAGAGACATTATTTGCCGACGTGTAGTCAAAGCTGTTTTCCATAAGTAGTGTATGGATGTGAGAACTGGACCATAAAGAAAGCTGAACACTGAAGAATTGATGCTTTTGAACTGTGGTGTTGGAGAAGACTCTTGAGAGTCCCTTGGACTGCAAGGAGATCAAACCAGTCAATCCTAAAGGAGATTAGTCCTGAATATTCATTGGAAGGACTGATGCTGATGCTGAAACTCCAATTCTGTGGCCATCTGATGCGAAGAACGGACTCACTGGAAAAGACCTTGATGCTGGGAAAGATTGAAGGCAGGAAAATAGGACGGCAGAGGATAAGATGGTTGGATGGCATCATCGACTAGATAGACATGAGTTTGAGCAAGTTCAGGGAGTTGGTGATGGACAGGTAAGCCTGGCATGCTGCAGTCCATGGGGTTGCAGAGTCAACGACTGAGCGACTGAACTGAACTGAACTGACATACAACACTGTATTAGTTTCAGGTGTACAATATGATTTCGTAATTGTATATACTGAAAAATGGCTGCCCCAGTAAGTTAACATCCATCACCTCACAGTTAATATTTTTTGTGACTTTTTTAAGATCTACTCTTAGCAATTTTGAAATGTACAATAGAGTAGTTAACTAAATGACCACTCTTCCTAAAGAGCCATCCGAGTCACTTATCATATCATCACTTTATTACATCAATCTAATTTCCTGCACAGCACTTATCACAGCCAAAAAATAACTTTATTTTCTCCTTTATTATCGTCTTTCCCCTAGAAATATAAGTTCTCTGAAAGCATGGCTTCGTCTATTCTCCGCTGTTTCCACAGCACCTTAATTGAATAAATCCTTATAAAGCAGTAAACATTCAATAAATTTGACAAGCTAAAAGTTCTGACTTCCGACGGTTTCAGTGGTAGGAAAGGGGCGAATTCGAGGCATCCCCATTTCTCAGTTGAGGATGGGGCGGGGGGTTCAGACCCCAAGCAGTACCGAGACTGGAGCACGGAGTTCGAAATTCAAAAGTGCCGCCTCCAGAGAAGAGTTTTCAAAAGACGGAAGGGAAAAATTAAAAAAAGGAATTGGAGTGTCCCAGCGAGAGGCGGGAGGAGGCGCTGGGATGAAGCAGAAGTATACCATTTGGCCCAGAGGCCAGGAGCGGCCCCGCATCTTCCTGGTGGTACAAACAATGTGTGGGGGCCGGATGCAGGTGCGCCGGCAAGGAAATGCGTGGCCCACGACTGGAAGCCTGCTCCGGACGCTCCACTTCTGGAGGAAGGGGGCAGTGGGCGGGGTAACGTACAGCTCGGCCCGTACCACTCAGGTCGCGACGGAGGTCACGCAAAGAGAGGGCAACTGACACCTGGGGAAGAGGTTCGAATCAGAGCACCCGAGCGGGAAAAGCGGGTCCGGATCGAACCCCTTAGAAGGGCAAGGAACCTGCTAGGGTTCGCGACATTTCAGGTTGCAAAGGCTGGGTTGTACTACTCTGCTGCCGGAAAGGGGGTCCAGGCTGGGACTTGCGCAGGGCCGCAGCCGGGCTTATCTCACCAGAGCCATTGGGTCCAATGATGGCGGTGAACCTCTGAAATGGTCCGATAATCTGCCGACCCTTGTACGATTTAAAGTTCTCGATCTCAATCAGCTTCAGGAACCCCATGACTGCGGCAGCGCCACCGGCGCTAAGAAAGGCCGCGCCGTTCGCCCGCCAACTGGGATAACCCGCGCGGGAAACACCGCAGTGCAGGCCGGGCGGACAGTAAACCTCGCGAGAACAAGTCCAGGCCTAACGGGATTTTCGACTTCCGGCGCGGGCGGGAACCAAGGGGCGGGGCATTCGGACTGATGTGGCGGTTTTGTGGATCGGTTGCCAAGGCGCGAGGATACGACTGGCGTTCTGGCCCCGCCCCCTTTGCTTGTTGCTTGGCAATGCAAACCGCCGCTACTGGCGACTTCGCAGTTGAGGAGGCAAGCAGTGCAGTGAGGTGTCTGCAGCTTTGGGGATCCCGGAAAGCTGGTTGACGAGGCCAACCCTTGCTGAGACAAGTCAGAAGTCACAGGAGGGTTCTGCCCTCCAGGGCAAGAGGAAGGTGGGAGCTCGGCTGCGGCTTTTGCCTGGCCGGCGGGAAGATTCAGACTAGGGTCGGGAATTGGAAAGACCCCAGGGAGGGGAGGAAGGAGGGGCCAGCAGGAGGATTCTGTTAGAGGAGCTCAAATCTTGCTGAGGGTAGAGTAGGTTGGAATTGGAGTGGGGTGGAGTTATACATGGGATAGGGTGTTAAGGGGGATGGGGTGTGAATGGAGACGAGGGAACTCTGGAACGACGGGGATGCGGGCTGGGGAAAACTGTGGCCAGAGGTACTACCCCTACTCCACTCCACCCCCGCCCCCCGCCTCCCTCCTTTTTCTCCAAGCAGAGTTCAGAGACTGCCGCTATAGTCTTGGACCTAACCTGGGAGCTTCACAATTGGGACTCCTTGATGAGAAAGGTATTTTGTGTGAACCCCTGGGAGTCAGGGTCCCTAAGCCTGTGCTCTCCACCTCTTATCCTTCTTCCCTTCCTCCTCTTCATCTCTGTCTTTTCATGCCTCACTCCCATCCCATTCCCTTCTCTCCATTCCCCCCTCCGCCCAGTCCCTTGCTTCCCTTCCCTTTCTCTGCTCTGTCCTCCACCCTATCAACCGTCCTGTTGCCCTCCTTCCTCTTTTCCCCCTCTGCCCCTGACCTTTCTGTCCCTTTCCCCTGTTTTCCATCTTTTCTATCCCTCTGCTCCATCCCATCATACCCCATTACCTTATTACCTGCTCTTTACTAAGCCATGACGTTAGCAGTTCAAGAAGCTGTCTGTGTCATCTTCCCCTTCAGTTTGACCTTATATTGTGGTGACAGATGGAATATAAGCAAGCTGGCGTCAGTGCTTAGACTTAGACATGGAAAAGGTCTGGTGGCTGCTACAGCCATTCCTGTAACTATTTTTTAAACGATGTCTGGAGGCTGGGAAGAGTCTTAAGACAAGTCCAGAAAAGTGAGAAAGCCTGGCTGATGCAATCGAGTAAATGAAGTTCAGTTGGGAGATACTGGTGGGATCAGGCTGAGGGGATAAAATGACCAAAGGACAGCAATCTCATAATGGACAGGAACTAGAAATCCCATGAATGGAAGAGCCTGGCGGGCTACACCTTGGGGTGGCAAAACAGCCGGACAGGACCTAGCAACTAAACAACAACTTCCATTTAAGAAGATGAAATGTAGCTTTTTGGAGAGAAAATCAAATTGGATCCATACTTCTCACACCATATACAAAATGCAATTCCCAAATAGATTAAAAAATTAAATGAGAAAAGCAAAACTTTAGAAATTTTAGGATATATAGGAGAATATCTTTATCACCTCAGGGGATTTCTTAAATGATAAAAACTTCTGAACTTAAAGGAAAAGATTGGTAAATTTGACTGCATTCAAATTCCTCCAAATTATAACATAAAGTGAAAAGATGATAAGTGCACACAAAAAGCTTCTAAAGTATCAATCTGGGTTCTGTGGAGGGTTTGCAGGTGTTCATTTTGTTGTACTTCATAACATATGTGTTAACCATTTTCCTTTGTATGTATCAGCATTAACATAAATTATTATAAAATAATAACAAAGTGAAAACACAAGGCACAAATTGAAGATGTTTGCCACAGGTAAGCTAAGAAATGATTGGTGTGTAGAATACATAAGAAAGTCCTAAAATTAATAAGAAAAGGACATTTTTTAATGAACAAAAGATATGAATGGGCACTTCACAGAAGAGAAAGAAAAAATGCCCAAAACACACATGAAAAGATGTTGCAACCTCATCAGCAATAAGGAAAATGCCAATTAAAATAGATAGTTATAACTTTATACCCACAAGTTGGCAAAAATTAAAAAGTCTGTAACATTAAGTGTTGCTGAGGATGTGGGGTAGCTAGAGTTTATATACACTATAGTGAAAGTATAAATTGGTACAATATTCTTGGAAAACAACATTATCTTGTAAAGTTTAAATAGGCTGATGCCCTATGATCCATCACTTCCACTTCTAGGCATATGCTAGGGACACTTTTCCAGCTGTATATATGTCTCTCTTAATCTACAAGTTCCTCTTTTTTTTTTTTTTTGGCAATTAACTAAACTGAATTGTTTGTGCTGCAGAGTCCTAGTCTCTCTTGAACCCACTTCAGTCAGGCCCCACCAAAAATGTTCTCATCAAGGTCAGAAGCAACCCTCCCCTTCAAATCAGTCAGTTCTCAGTCCTCATCTTATTTAACCCATCATCAGTTGCTCACTCTCTCCTCCCAAAAGCACTTTCTTCACTCAGCTTGTCAGACAGGGAACTCCAGTTTTTACATCCATTCCACCTGGTAGAGCCTGAAGCAACTGAGCGACTTTCACACTTCACATTACCTCACTGGCCACTCAGCCTCCAGTGCTGGCTCCTCCTCTCCCTATGTCCCCTGAGGCATTCTTATCCACCTAGAGTACCTTAGAGATCTCTTACTGCCTCATAGCTTTAAATTCCTTGTATCAGTAAGGACGGGCTGAATTATGCTGAGGTTACAACCTCAAAATCTCAGCGGCTTTATGTGGAAGCTAATACATACAACAAACTAGTGAATATAATATAAAAGGAGCCTACTTACAACTAGTGGTTAACAGTGATGGGGAAGGGGTACTATAGGGGTAAGAGAGTGGGAGGTACAAACTATTGGGTGTAAGATAGGCTCAGCCATGTATTGTATATCAGGGGGAATAAAACCAATACTTTGTACTAACTGTAAATGGGAAGAAACCTTTAAAAACTATTAAGAAAAAAACCTAAGGATAACCAATCCAAACACAGTCAACTAGGCCTTCTCAAATAAAACAAGCACTTCGTCTATAGCCAATCAAATAATTTCCTTGTTTTCCATCTCTTAAACATCTTTCCTTAAGCTCTTAACCACTTCTGGTTTGGCAGTGCCCAATGTTTTTTGCCCAAATAAACTCTTAAAAAATGTTTCTAAGTCTCAGCAGCTCATAAAGACAGGTTTCTCACTCCTGCTTCTTTTCCATTGTGGGTTGGCTACATCTCTGCTCTGTCTTCACTCCAGGACCAAGGCTGAAGGGACAGCCCTCAGCTGCGACATTGCTGGTCCCACAGCAGTAAAGAGAGAACATGGCTATCACTAATGGCTCTTAGTTCTGCCTAGGAATGGCACTGTCAATTCTCATGTTCCAGAGGGCAAAGCAGATTATGTGGCTAATTGTGAGGGCAATATGATAAGAATATAGAATCCTGTAAGGAGGAACAGCAAAAAAAGCTTTTTTGGGGCCTTGTGAGATCTTAGTTCCCCACTAGGGATCAAACCTATGCCCCCTGCAGTGGAGGTGCAGAGTCCTAACCACTGGACAGCAAGGGAATTCCCAATAGCATTATCTTTTTGAAAAATAACAAAATTTTCCATACTATCTGTATCTATCAATGGGTGTTGACCTCTCAAACTCAACACTTCCAAAACCAATCTCCAGATTCTCATCCTATTCTATTCTCCCCATACAGACTGTTTAGTTGATAGCAACGCATCTGACTGCCCCAGCCCAAATCCTTTAAGTCATTCTTAACACTGCTTCCTCACAGCACACCCAATCCCATCAGGAAGTCCTGTTGGCTCTGTCTTCAAAATATATCCAGAATCTGACCACTTCTCCCTACATCTGCTGCTACTAACCTGGCGTGATCATCATCTCTTGCCTGAACAATTGCAATAGCCTCCTGTCTGGTCTCCCTGCCTCTAGCTTCCCTTCCCATCCCCTCCAGTCTATTCTTAACACAGCAGCCAGAACAATCCTTTACAAATCAAAGACAGGACACATTACTCCCACTGCTCAAAATCCTCCAATGGCTGCCCATTTCTCTGAGTAGAAGCTGCAGCCTTTACAATGGTCTGTGAAGTCCTACATGCTCTGCATCTCCCCACCCAATCTAATGTTATTTCCCACTCCTCCATTCACACACTTGCCTCCCTGCTGTCCCTTTGAATGTGTGTGTGCCTCTTGTGTCCACCTTAAGGCCTCTGCACTTGTTCCCTCTGCCTGCAGTGCTCTCCTAGTTATCTGCATAGGAAACTCCCTCACCTTCTTCAAGTATTTCTTTCTGTTATGCCTCCCCTGACTTCCATATTTAAAATTGCAACACTCTCCCCATTTCCTTAGCACTTCCAATTCCCCTTATCCTACTCTCTATTTTTCCCAAAGCACTGATCATCGTCTTACAAACTATTTAATGTACTCTCTCTAGTCTTGTCTGTCCCCACTAGAAAGTAACTTTCACAAGGACTCAGATTTTTCTCACTTTTGCTCCTTGATGTCTCTCAAATGCTTAAGGGATTGTCTGTCAGTAGGCACTTCACGAATATTTGTTAATTGATAAATGAACATGGGTGAAAAAAGCAAGATGCAGAAGAATGCATACTATGTAATACTCCATCAAGTTTCAAGACAAAATGTTTTAAAATGTTCAGGGAATCATACACACACATAGGGTATATTAGTGCATATTACTAAGGGAATGGTGACATTTTGGATAGTGGTTATTCTTAGGGTAAGGATGAGGGAGAACAGACATAAGACACTTAAATAGTATTGATCATGTTCTATTTCTTAACTAGGGAGTTGGTTCATGGGTCTCTTTTATCATGCTTCCTAAGTTACATATGGCTTATATATAATTCCCCTGTGTGCATCAAATATTTTAGTTACAAAATGGTTAGACAGTGAACGAGCAAGGTTGGAACTAGCTGTAGAAGGAGTTGATGAATGGTGTTCCAAAGGAATGCAGTGTACAAAGGCCCTGAGGTGGGAACGGTTGTAGTGTTGGAGGACCTGATAGGAAGCCAGCGTACCTGGAGAACAGTAAACAAGGAAGAGGGAGGCATGAGATGAACTGGAGAGGTGTGCAGGAACTGGATCTTGAAAGCCCACAGTAAGGGGTTTGGATCTAAGTGTGGTGGGAAGCCAGTGGAGGATTTTAAGCAGGTGCAAGACATGATCAGATTTATGTTAGCAAGAGATTTTGGCCGTGGCTTTGGCTGGGCTTCCCAAAACACAAAGGAATACAGGCAAATTTAAGCCTTTAATTTGACTAGAGCATAAGTAATAAAAATAAAGGGGGAATGGTGGTTACTGAAACAGAAAAAACTAAATAGAGTGTAATGCAAAAGGGATGTTGTAAATCAGTTTGAGACTTGGAAAGGTGAGCAGGAATCAGATCATGAAGACTCATAAAACAAAAACATTGGGGAACTATTTGCTTTATGCCATGCGTGCATGCTCAGTCATGTTCAACTCATTGTAGCCCACCAGGCTCCACCATCCATTGGATTCTCCAGGCAAGAATACTGGAGTGGGCTGCCATTTCCTCCTGCAGGGGATCTTCCCTCCTGCATCTCCTGCACTGGCAGGGGGATTCTTTACCACTGAGTCACCTGGGAAGCCCACTTGCTTTATAGATGCTTTCAAAGGTTTTAAGCTGAGGTGTGCCATGGTCAGATTTGCTTTCAGAAAAATCACTTTGGTAGCCAAGGCAGAGAAGCAGTAGAGAGCCTAACACTGGAACAAGGGAGCCCAGTGAGGTTCCTGGGAACATTATCTGGCACCAGCTTGTGAGGCCTGAATTAGGGTTGAGACAGCAGAGATAGAGAACACAGATATGAAATATGTCAGGAAGTAAAATCAGTAGGAATCAATAGCTGGTAAGATACTGTGGGGAGAAAGGAATGGGCGTGGGGGTATAGTCAAGTATCACTGACTGGCCATCCAACTTGCCCTTGCTCCAGATGTATAATGTAGATCTGCCACCAGATCCCAAAGAGGTAGCAGCCATCGAAGCTAGAAGAAATCGAGAAAAGGAGCGACAGAGTCGATTCTTCAATGTACGGACCAGAGTCATGGGGGTGAGTGGGCAGTGGGGACTTTCTCTGGACCAGGGGTCACCTCACTCTTATACCAGGAGAGGAACATAGCTATACCCATCACAGCCCCTCCCTGATTCGAGCAGACTGCAGGGTTATAAAGGAAGGAGGAAGGGAAAAAGGCACCCACCCCCACGTGTGGTGAGGGCCTGAGAAAGAGGCCGAGAGGTGCAGGGGAAGAGGAGCCAGTGACAGGTGACTCTTCTCCAGTCAACTCCGGGCCAAGTGGTCTGGTTTTCAAGAGACAAGTAAATGGAGCCAAAAGAAGTCTATAAAGAATATTTGGTATCGCATGCATATGCCAAAACTCTCTGGAAGGTTACATAAGACACTGGTAACTGATGGGAAGGACACTTACTCTTGACTAAACTGTATTCCCTTTTGCATTATTTTGAAATGTTTTAAATGAATTATAATCAAAATAAAGAGAAAATATCAATAGTTTAAGAAAAAAAATAGATTGCTGGGTGGGTGGATGAGTAGCGTGACTTGAGATCCAGTTGGCAAACGTTTCAAGGCCTGTTCTGTGCCAAGCACTGGGTTAGGCAATAGGGACACAAAGCTGAATAAGCCCAGTCTCTGCCCTTAGCAAGCTCACAGCCTAGGAGACAATCAATAGAGGCAAAGTTCAAGGTAATGTGGATAGTAGGTCTTAGGTTCTATGGAAGTATCACCTGCTGGAGGGATCAGGAAAGTCTCAGCTGGTCTTAAGGGATGAATAGGAGTTTGGGTAAAAAGGGGAGGAAAGAGTGTTCCAAGTGGAGGGAGCTGCTGGAGCAAAGGCTATCAGTATGAAACAGCGTAAGATATGTAGAGAACTGTAAGCAGAGCTCCTGAGGGTGGGAGAAGGGAAGAGGGTGAGAAAAGGCTGGAGGCAGAGGCTAGACCACTGAGGGACTTACAAACCATGGTGAGATGGTGGGACATTACCCAGTAGATACTGGGAATCCTATAGAAGGATTTTGAGGCAGGTAAGTTCTGAGCAGTCTGTGTTAGAGCATTCGAGGCCCACTGCTGGGCTTCTACCTTGATTTAGCCCATTTCTTTGGGATCAGGTGGATGTTGAAGCCCTGAACAACCAGGTGGAAGAACGAAAGCTTCAGGAGGCAACAGAACGGAGCAAGGAGGCAGCTTACGGTAAAAAGTCCAAGGCCAGAGGCCAGCCAAGGGGGAAAAGCAAGGACCTGAGTGGGCTAAGGCAGGGCAGTTCTGCTCTGGAGTGCAGCCTGACGTCTGGGGGGTGTGGTAAGACAAACCAGACAGGCCTTTGGGAGCAGTGGCTGTGCTGACTAGACTGTCTCTCTTGTGGGGCCTTCTCCATGCCCCTACCCACCACCCCCAGGTACCAACCAGGTGCAATATGATCTGGTGGTTCAGATGCTAGAGAAGGAACAGGCAGAACGGACACGTCGGCTGGCCAAGAAATTCCGAAACTTTAGAGAACAGAGGCAGCAACTCAAGAACAGGCGTGAATTTGACTTCTGGGATTCAAACCGACTCTGGAGGGAGTTTCCAGCTTATGTTGGTGACAGTGTTCCCTACTATGGCCCAGTCAGCCTGCAGTGCTTCTCTGGGGAAGATCTGGAGAGGGCTGCATGTCTGAGAATGCAGCAGGAGCAGTTCCAATACAGCCTGGAGAGGCAGCTACAAGAGCAACAGCAAGCCAGAGTTGATGAGAACTGTGCAGGTAAGCAGCGAGGCCCTCCTGGCTGTGACCTGAGGCCTAGTGGGGAGCCATCCTAAGCTGAAGACCAGAACTGTGTGGGCGGGTCCAGTTTCACGTAAGGGCTGATGCTGAAAGTTTAGACTGAACAGGTCCCAACCTCCTTCATCAACTGACAGTGTAGCCATTGATCCCTGATCAGCCTGGCACTCCATTACCTGGAGACAGCAGAGTAAAGACAAACCTAATGGTCCTGCCACTTACTAGCTAGTTTGGGCAAATGAATCCTCCTCTCTGTGCTTCAGTTTGCTTATCTTTAAAATGAGGAAATTATCCATACCACACAGCTCATGTGAGAATGACATGAGACACTGTAAGTAAAGCACAAGCATAAGTACAATAGTAGCTACAATAACCAGTAGCTACTATTACTCTGACATCTGTGGCCATGTTCCCCTCTTCCATTAGAGTAAGGGCAAGGACCATCTCTTACCTACTCACACCACTCATCTTTAAAACCACCCCTGTTGTAGCACCCTGTTTTGTTATACCACTTACCATAGAGGTATTTGTGGAATGTCTTTCTCCCCCAAAATGTCAGCTCACTGAACATGAACCATGTCTCTCGTTTCCACCTCTATCCCAGTTACCTAGTACATTGCCTGCCAGTGTCAGGAGTTCAATGAAATCATCATTGAATGAAAAACTGAAGACCAAATTAACAAGACAGGTACCCTGCCCTCCAGGAACCCACAGAACCAGGACTTCCAGAAAATCAGTTTAGAGTAAAAGGAAAAAATACATGCACAAGTTATTTACCAGCAAATATCTATGCTTTAACACTGCATTAGGTACCATGACAGGTACTGTGATAGAAATATATACAGGACATCACTCAGTCGTGTCTGACTTTTTGCAACCCCATAGACAATAGAGTCCATGGAATTCCCTAAGCCAGAACACTAGAGTGGGTAGCCTTTCCCTTCTCCAGGGCATCTTCCCAACCCAGGGATTGAACCCAGGTCTCCCACATTGCAGGCGGATTCTTTACCAGCTGAGCCACAAGGGAAGTCCAAGAATACTGGAGTGGGTAGCCTATCCCTTCTCCAGAGGATCTTCCCAACCCAGGAATTGAACCGGGGTCTCCTGCATTGCAGGCGGATTCTTTATCAACTGAGCTATGAGGGAAGTCCAGAGAACACAGAGCGAACATCAAGATGGGAGTGTCAGTTCTCACAGGGGAAGGGAGGGACAGTAGGGGGTTGGCACAGGCCAGCTGTCAGGAACCAAATTTTAGAAAGCCGGGTACAATTTTGGCAAGGCAGAGAGTGGGAATGAGAAAAGGTCATTCTAGGTAGAGTGGGTAGCAAGAGGAAGAGCTAACCTTTATTGAGTACTTACTGTGTACCAGACACTGTGCCAAGCTTTCTACCATGTATTAACTCATTTCATCTTCAACAACCCTATGAGGCAAGTACTAGTAATATCCCTACTTTCTGTGGAGGAAACTGAAAGAACTGAAGAACAGAGATCTTAAATAAGTTGCCCAAAGTCATACAGCTAGTAGGTCATGGAGGGGGGAAGTGAACTCAGGTGGCAGGTTGGCTCCAGAGCCCGCACTCGTGATTGCTACACCATACTTGCTCTGTCACCATGAGAAAATGGGGACTCAGGGGCCAAGGGATGTTTCAGAGAGGGAGTCGTCAATAATGTCAGATGCCCTCAGAGAAGTTCAGATAGGAAAAGAAACCTATCAGATTGAGAAACTAGGAGTATTTGGTGATTTTTGTCAAAGTAGCTGCAGTAGCACCAGGGGCCAGCTACCTAGTGACAGCAGGCAGGTGTACAAGAAGGTAGAGTTAGGCAACAGAACAGCAGAATGCTGGGGGAGAGTCTGTGTAGCGTCATGAAAGGAGCATGAGCTGATTCCTTGAGAGATCTGGATTCTAACTTACTAAGTGCTAGCTGTGTAACCTTAGGCATTTTACTTCACCTCTGGACCTCATCTGGAAACATGGGGTGACCTTTCCTCTTTGAGTTGCTATGAAGACCGAAATGAAACCAGGCACCCCTATCCTCCGTTCCCCTGTCATCCAGTCTCTGCGGTCTGTCCCTGTGCCTCTCCAGAGCCAAGCCTTCAGCCTATGCCCTGGACCCCATTCCGCCTACCTCCCATGCAGGCCGTGCTCCCTCAGGTACGCCCTGGCCCTGAGGTTCTCAACACTTTCTACTGGCCATATTCTGTAAAGGCTGTAAACATGCTTATGTCTAACCCTTCTTTTTAAACTTTTTAAAATTTTTATTTCTTTTTGGCTGTGCTGGGTCTTTGTTGCTGCGCAAGGACTTTTTCTTGTTGTGGAGCATGGGCTCTAGGGTGCATGACTTCAGTAGTTGTGGCACATGGGCCCAGTTGCCCCGAGGCATGTGGAATCTTCCCAGACCAGGGATTGAACCCGTGTCCCCTGAATTGGCAGGATTCTTAACCACTGGACCAACAGGGAAGTCCCTGTATAACTCTCCTTAAGAATTAAACAAAAGCCTCTCTCCATTCTGATTCTTCTAGATACTATGAGCTAGCTTTTCCTTTACAGCCACACTTTTTGAAAAATCTGTCTCTACTTGCTGTCATTCCTTCCTAACTTTACAGTCACACTTCAACTCCTGAGATCTCATTTCTCCCCACACACCTGCACTGACACTACTCTTACAAAAATCATTAATGTCCTTTGTGTTATCAGGTACAAGAGGCTCTGTTCAGTCTTTTCTCCTTTACTTGGACTTTCTTGCTACACTTGACTCTTATCATATCTTCCTTCTTAAGCCTCTCTCTTCCTTGGCTTCTGTGACAGCATATTCTGCTATAGCTCTCTGATCATTCCTCTCCCTTCTAGAGACTTTGTCCTTGGCACACTGCTGTCCTTACCCTGCATACTTGCCTCAGGTGCCCTCAACCCTCATTCTGGGTTCGGCTACCACATCACCATCTCTATGCTGAGGACTCGACCTGCACAGTCAGGTATCCAGGTGGCTGCTGACCACCTCCAATTCAGCTTCCTAAAGAGAATTCATCAGTGCTCCCTAACCTGCTCTGCATTCTGTATCCTCTAGTTCCAGAGGTGGCCACATCATGCACGGAGTCATCCCAGCCAGGACCCTGGGAAGCATCCAAGTCTTTTGCTCTCCCTTACTCCCTAATCCAATCCATCGAATTCTGCTAATGAAACCTCCATATATTTCCCCTGCATCCTTTCCATCACTGACCTGGTTTCAGCCCTCTCAGCCAGCCTACTGCCATAGCCTCCAAGAGGGCTTCCCTACCTCCACTGTCTCCCACCAGCCTCACTGTCCTCTCTACTGGCACCAAAAGGAGCCTTCCAAAATGCAAATCTAACCATGTTACCCCCTTACTTAAAATCCTTCCATATTTGCCATCACCTTCAGGGTCAAGTTTCCAGTCCTTAGTCTGGCCCCTGTAGAGTTCCCTAGTCACTTGCATTTTATGCTCCAGCAAGAGCAGACTACTTGTAATTTAAGATACAGATCATGCTGTTTCTTCACTTCCTTATTTGATATTTACCAAGCATCCACTATGTACCAGGCTCTGACATAGGTGCTAGTGTATGGCAGTGGATAAAACAGACAAATGTCCCTGCTTTTACAAAGGTTACCTTGTAGTGAGGAGAGAGACAGGCAATAGACAAAAATAATTAAGTAAAATGTAAGGTATATTGGGTGGTGATAAATGCTGGGGAGAAAAACAAATCAGAGGAGGAGGATAAATTTTGGGGTCAGGCAGGTGGCAATTTTAGGGAGGAAAGACAGAAGGCCTCACTGAGGAGCAAAGTGAGCAAAGATCTGAAGGAAGCAAAAGAACATGAGACAAGAGCAACATTTATTACAAATCCCTAAGGCAGAATTGTCTGGTATGTTCTGGTAACAGCATGGAGACCACTGTAGCTGGACTGAAGCACTTTCAATACTTTTGCTCATGCTATGCCTGCAGCCTAGCCCTTAGTCTGAAGCTCAGAGATGAAATAATTTCCCCAGGTCACACAGCTCCGAAGCAACAGAGCTGGCATTGAGACCCAGGTCCATTGGAAGCATCTTTCAGTGAGGCACCTGAGAAATTCTTGTGGCTGTCACTTTTATTATCCCTAGCCCCAAAGAGTAGCTGCTTCCACACATCCCTGCAATGAGGACATTACCCCACTCCCAAACATACATACACATAGCTTGCACATACATAAACATACATTTACAAAGCTTGCTGAACAAATGGCTGAATGACAGTGCCCTGGCCATATTTCTTTGTGTAGACATGCTCAGTGAGCAGCTACGCCTAGCTGTGGACATGCGGGCCACCCAACTGGCCAAGCTGGAGGAGTCCTGCCGCATAGCCATGATGGCTGCCAGGGCCAATGCCAACAAAGCCCAGGTATGTACAGCGTAAGAGCCATCCAGGGCACCAGGCTCTCCCCAATCTACCGATCAAACCAGCCCTCTCATCTACCTGGGGACTTCCGCCTTCACCCTAGGGCCCTCTTAGGGCAGGAGGTCCCCTTCCCCACCTCCAGGCTCAGGATGACCTGAGAACAGAACACTGCCCTCCCTTCCCCAGTCTCTCAGTCTAAGGGCTTCCAGAGGGCAGAGGAGTTCCCTGTCCATTCCACTCCTTCCGCCACCTTAAGTCACTCAAAGGCCATGCAGTATCTCTTCCTTCTCTCCCTGAAATGGGGAAGAGTAGGGCCATGTCTCCCCCTCCCCCTGTGACTGAGAGCTCCCTGAGGTTGAGCATCCAAACGCTCACATTCGGGGACCCCACCAGGCAGCTAAGCTGGCTGAGCGGCAGCGCCGTGAGCATCAGCACCAACAGGAGGCGAAACTCGTGGAGGTCCAGAACCAGATCACAAGTGACCTACTGACTGAGAACCCACAGGTTGCCCAAAACCCCGTGGCTCCCCACAGGATCCTGCCCTATTGCAGGAAGGGCATGACTCCAGAGCAGAGAGCCACCATCAGGAAAGCACAGGAGACACAACGCCATGAAAAGGAAGCACAGCGCCAAGCTGAACAAACACTGGATGCCAAATGGGAAAGCCAGGCTATAAACTTGGCCCAGGCAACAATGGAGCTAGAAGAACAGGAGAGGGAGCTGTGTGCTGAATTTCGGAGGGGACTGGGCTCCTTCAACCAGCAGCTGGCTAAGGAGCAAAAAGCCCAGTGAGTTCTAGGGGGTGGCAGCAAGGATGAATGCTAAGGGAGGGTAGGGAGGGATGGCAAGGGCCAGGGAGAGAGGGAAAGCCCATTAGCTGAAGCCTCTGCATTTCTTTCACAGGCAGAATTATCTGAATTCAATTATCTATACCAATCAACCTACAGCCCAATATCATCTGCAATTTAACACCAACAGCCGCTGAGCTCAGGATCGTCCTCTCCCACCTCCACCATCAAGCTCACAGAAGCTAATAGAGAGAAAAATGCTGCAGACCCCCCCCATCCATTTCCCAGTGGGAGAGAGGTGAGCCAGTACCCCACCTCTGACCCTGGGTAATAAAGTTGTTCATTAAAATCAAGGTTACATGTTGTAATAGGACACAAAAGGTGTAAGGTACTGCCATTCCCACCCCACCCATGGGTTCTGAGCATCCAACCCTGTCAGTCTTCACCCATTCACATTTATTCCCCATGCCAGCTCCCCCAGCACACAGTGCTGCTCACTCCTCTGTGAGAAACAGAGACTTTATTAGGCACACAGGGTGACTGATAGGCAGAGGTTACAAAATGGCTACTGGGCTTCCTTCCAAGCTGGAGTAGAGCACTCCAGGAGGGGGAGGGACAGAGGAACCTTTGTTCTCTCTGCCTTCCCCCTTCAAGGCTGCATGCGGATGGCCCCATCCAGCCGGATGACTTCTCCATTGAGGAATGAGTTCTCGATGATGGCTTGTACCAGATGAGCATACTCGGCAGGGTCACCAAGTCGGCTGGGGAAGGGCACCTGGCTGGCCAGGAAGTTGCGCACTTTATCTGGGAGGGTGGTCAACAGCGGGGTGCCAAATAGGCCTAGATAAGACAGCCAGAATCAGAGACCCACCCTCACTTTCATATTTACCTGGTCCCTCCTCACCGTAATTCTACTTGTGGTGCTTCCCTATGTCCAGAGATAGAAGGCTGCTGCTGTTTAGGTGGTAGATACCTTCCCTGCTCAATTGCCCACAGATCCCACCCAATCCCAGGTGTGGCAGGGAGGGGATATGTCTACCTGGAGCAATGGTCATCACCCGGATACCCATGGGAGCCAGATCCCGAGCAATGGGCAGTGTCATCCCCACTATGCCCCCCTTGGAAGCAGAGTATGCAGCTTGTCCAACCTGGAGAGGGAGTGGAGGTCATAAGGGGCAGGGCCCCCAACAAGTCACCAAGGTACAAGCCTTGCCCCTACTCACACACCTGGCCCTCAAAGGCAGCTATGCTGGCCGTGTTGATGATGACCCCACGTTGGCCTCCCTGGTCTGGTTCATTCTGGCCCATCTCACCAGCCACCAGGCGGATAACATTGAAGGTGCCTATGAGATTCACCTGGAGGATCAGTAGAGAGGTGGTACAGGACTTGAAGCAGAGGTAGCCTTTTGTGGGTGTGGGGACACTCACAGTCAGATACTTCTTACTACTACCCCTGGAGAACCTCTAAGGCCTTACATTGGTAACTCGCTGAAAGTCCTCCAAGGTATGCGCCTGGCTCTTCTTTAAGTTATAAGTCTTGCTGGCCACTGCAATGCCTGCACAGTTGACTGCCACATCCACGCGACCAAACTTTTCTCTTGCTAGAGTCAGGGCTGCTTGCACATCCTTCTCTGAGGTCACCTTCAAAGGGAAAAGTGGAGAAGGTATTCATCTACCATCATACACATACCACTAAATCTTGCGGGGGGTGGGGGGTGCAGGGCAAATCCAGTCTTTGAGTGACAACAGAATTGTGTAAGCAAGGGAGAGGCCAAGAGAAAGAAAACTCTAGAGTGAGACAAAGGTGAAAATGTTAGGTATTATAGAGCAGTGTTTCAAAACATTTTTGAAATCTATACCCTCTTTTGAAAAACTTACATACCCCTGGAGATTCTCAATTGCTGTGGATCAGACAAGTTGTGAGAATTATTGATATGAAGATAAACTAGCTTTTTGGTACCCCTACTTGCTAATATGATTTCATCAAGCTTTACTTTCTGTAGTTTATTTTATGATAAGTTTTTTGACTTTGTAAATATTAAAATTACAGGGCACAATAACTCTACATATCTCCTTGAGGAGATTCTGATATGGCTAATCTGCAACCTCCCTCCCTGCCCTCCTCCCTGTTGTGAATCACAGCTTTAGCAATTCTTTATCCGGAGGCGTATGAAAACGGCTCAGACCAAAAGGGAAAAGGAGATGGGTCCATTGCCCACATAGACAGGCACCCTCATGAAAAGGAACCCCATGGGAGAGGTGAGATAACCCCACTTACGTCGGCTGGGGCAAAGGCGCAGCTCTTCCCTAACTTCTTGGCCTGGACCTCCCCATCTGAGTTGGGCAGGTCCAAAAGTACAGCAGCGGCCCCCTGCCCCACCAGTCGCTCCGCTGTGGCCAAGCCTAGTCCTGAGGCTCCGCCGGTTATTAAGGCAACCAGACCCTGTGAAGAGGAGCTCGGTCAACAACTACACTGTGCGGACCACCCCCACCCATTCTCCAGGCTTCTGCGAGGGAGGCTCCCGGTCACCGCCGCGACTTGACCCCCATCTTAACGATGGGACCCTCTGGGCGTCTCATCCCCAGACAGCCATCCAGTCACCCCACATGTACGTGCCCCGGAGAGTTGACCTTCACCTCCCGAGCCCCGCCGTCGCAATAACAGGCCTAGATAAGAGTGACGCTTTCTCCCAGCACCGATCTCTCCCCGCTGGCTCTACGGCTGCGCCGTCCCAGTGGGTGCAAAACGCCGAAAACCCGATTACCTTCACGCTCCGACTTGCAGCTGCCATCTTGCTCAGGCCTCTCTGCAGGCTGGACTGCCGCGCACTCGCTGATTGGCCGGGGCGGAGCCGCGGGGCGGGGCCGGCGAGGCGGGCGGCCCGCCGCTCAGCCAAACAAGTGGGCGCCGTCCTCTCACGTCACCCGCCGCGGGGGCAAGGCCGGCCGGGGCAAGGTCCAGGGAGAGAGTCTTTACACCCAGGGAAAAACAACCAATAGCCGCGTCGCAACACTACTACACCCCTGGGCCTTTGGTCAGGCCTGCAGCTCTGCTGAGGGGAGGGGGACAGGAGATTGAAAATGTGTTCCTTACTCCTCAGAAAAAGCCTCCCTTCAAGTATAAACATATCAGAGAGACCTATATGCCAGTCTCTGTGCGGGGCACTAAGGATAATAGAGGAAAAATAAAATAATCAGAGGAATAATAAAAGGTTCATGCCTTCCGAGAGGGAAGTTGGAAAGTTCAGTTGGAAAAAGAAATAATTTCAGTACAGACACAAAGGAAGGGACAAAGAACCAGATTCTAGAACCCAGGCATGGATATCCAAAGATGGTGATTGGGAGAGCCACATACAGAGAAATATGTTGAGGAAGAGACTGAGAAGAACAGAGATGACCGACAGGTTCTCAGAGATACAGATGTGGAAAGCCATAACAAGAGAAGCTAGAAAACGACATTCTGAGACAGCTGCTGAGAAACAAACCCAAAGAGGCATAAGCAGAGAAGCAAAAAACATCTTTGAGCCTTTGGTACTGTCTTCTATGTCTAACACCTATTTTAAACCCCAAAGCCCAGATCACACATTTCACATTGGACCTCAACCAGAGACTGTCATTTAAGACCCAGAATACCCTAAAACATCTTTTCACCAGTATCCTAATTATAATTCTGAGCCTACCTTATCTGACTTCTTTATACACTTCTCCCCAAACCAAGGTCTTCAGACCATAACCTTAGTCTACATTTTCAGCCTCATTGAGCTGTGTATTTCCTTTATTTTAAGTATCTCCCTATCTGGGTTTCCACCCAGGAAGACTTCCTTCTGGGCCTCCTAAATGTTGACGTACTACCACACTCATGGTCACTACACCATATCCATGAAAGGATTTAGTACCAGATTCACCATCTTTCAGGCAACATGAAGCGCCCCCATCCCTCTGTGATAGCACTCTAAACGGAGCCAAATATGGTCCAACCACAGTGCCCTCTTTGTGTTCTTTCTTTTGTTTTTAATTTTTATTGAAGTATAGTCTATTTTCAATATTGTGTTAGTTGTGGGTGTACAGCAAAGTGAATCAGTTATATATAAACATATATCCACTCTTTTTTAGATTCATTTCACATATAGGCCATTACAGGGTATTGAGTTTCCTGTGCTATACTGTAGTTTCTTATTGGTTATCTATTTTATACATGTTGTTGTTTAGTCACTCGGTCTGTCCAACTCTTTTGCAACCCCATGGACTGGAGTCCACCAGTCTCCTCTGTCAGTGGGATTTCTCAGGCAAGAGTAAGTATTGGAGTGGGTTGCCATTTCCTTCTCCCAGGATCTATGACCCAGGGATCGAACCCGCATCTCCTGTTCTTCACCATTGAGCCACCGGGGAAGCTATTTTATGTATAGTAGTTTGTATATATTAATCCCAACCTCCCAATTTATCCTCCCACCCCAGCTGTGTTCATCTCTGAATTAGCTATTCTCTATGCTTGAAATGCTCTCCTGATCTTCGCATGACTGTATTTGTTGCTGCTGTTGTTGCTGTTGTTCGGTCATTCAGAACTAAGCTTCAATGTCACCTCCTCTCCCTCACCTCTCAAGCTGTGAGTCACTTAGTTGCTATTCCATTGTGTTGGAGGATATCATCAAGAGTATATACCTCAGGTTGACCACAGAGCTGGACCCAGGCATTGGGACACTCCATACCCCGCTTCTGTCCCTGGAATATGCTCACTGTTGTCACAGTTAGAGCTGTTTCAAGGACATAACCTTGAGAGAGTAAGGTGTTGTTGGGACCATCTGGACTGAATACCACCAAACTGAATCCTGTGAACACCTCTATATAAACTTATAAGATTCTGGCAGATAGGTGTGGAGATCTACTAGTCTTTTGGTCACCCAGAACAAACCTTAGAACTTCCCTTGCTCATTAAATCTGCCACCTTCCAATCTGGAATAGTATGCCTCTTTCTTCAGTCTCTCCTTGCACTCCCTGTTCAGGGGCCAGTTTTTTTTTTTTCCATTTATTTTTATCAATTGGAGGCTAATTACTTTACAACATTGTAGTGGGTTTTGTCATACATTGACATGAATTAGCCATGGATTTACATGTATTCCCCATCCTGGTCCCCCCTCCCACCTCCCTCTCCACCCGATCGCTCTGGGTCTTCCCAGTACACCAGGCCCGAGCACTTGTCTCATGCATCCAACCTGGGCTGGTGATCTGTTTCACCCTAGATAATATACATGTTTTGATGCTGTTCTCTTGAAACATCCCACTCTCGCCTTCTCCCACAGAGTCCACAAGTCTGTTCTGTACATCTGTGTCTCTTTTTCTGTTTTGCATATAGGGTTATCGTTACCATCTTTCTAAATTCCATATATATGTGTTAGTATACTGTAATGGTCTTTATCTTTCTGGCTTACTTCACTCTGTATAATGGGCTCCAGTTTCATCCATCTCATTGGAACTGATTCAAATGAATTCTTTTTAATGGCTGAGTAATATTCCATGGTGTATATGTACCACAACTTCCTTATCCATTCGTCTGCTGATGGGCATCTAGGTTGCTTCCATGTCCTGGCTATTATAAACAGTGCTGCGATGAACATTGGGGTGCACATGTCTCTTTCAGATCTGGTTTCCTCGCTGTGTATGCCCAGAAGTGGGATTGCTGGGTCATATGGCAGTTCTATTTCCAGTTTTTTAAGCAATCTCCACACTGTTTTCCATAGCGGCTGTACTAGTTTGCATTCCCACCAACAGTGTAAGAGGGTTCCCTTTTCTCCACACCTTCTCCAGCATTTATTGCTTGTAGACTTTTGGATAGCAGCCATCCTGACTGGCGTGTAATGGTACCTCACTGTGGTTTTGATTTGCATTTCTCTGATAATGAGTGATGTTGAGCATCTTTTCATGTGTTTTTTAGCCATCTGTATGTCTTCCTTGGAGAAATGTCTGTTTAGTTCTTTGGCCCATTTTTTGATTGGGTCATTTATTTTTCTGGAGTTGAGCTGGAGGAGTTGCTTGTATATTTTTGGGATTAATCCTTTGTCTGTTGCTTCGTTTGCTATTATTTTCTCCCAATCTGAGGGCTGTCTTTTCAACTTGCTTATAGTTTTCTTTGTTGTGCAAAAGCTTTTAAGTTTCATTAGGTCCCATTTGTTTATTTTTGCTTTTGTTTCTAATATTCTGGGATGTGGGTCATAGAGGATCCTGCTGTGATTTATGTCGGAGAGTGTTTTGCCTATGTTCTCCTCTAGGAGTTTTATGGTTTCTGGTCTTACTTTTAGATCTTTAATCCATTTTGAGTTTATTTTTGTGTATGGTGTTAGAAAGTGTTCTAGTTTCATTCTTTTACAGGTGGTTGACCAGTTTTCCCAGCACCACTTGTTAAAGAGGTTGTCTTTTTTCCATTGTATATCTTTGCCTCCTTTGTCGAATATAAGGTGACCATAGGTTCGTGGATTTATCTCTGGGCTTTCTATTCTGTTCCATTGATCTATATTTCTGTCTTTGTGCCAGTACCATACTGTCTTGATGACTGTGGGTTTTTAGTATAGTCGGAAGTCAGGCAGGTTGATTCCTCCAGTCCCATTCTTCTTTCTCAAGATTACTTTGGTTATTCGAGGTTTTTTGTATTTCCATACAAATTGTGAAATTATTTGTTCTAGTTCTGTGAAAAATACCGTTGGTAGCTTGATAGGGATTGCATTGAATCTATAGATTGCTTTGGATAGTATAGCCATTTTGACAATGTTGATTCTTCCAATCCATGAACACGGTATATTTCTCCATCTGTTTGTGTCCTCTTTGATTTCTTTCAACAGTGATTTATAGTTTTCTATGAATAAGTCTTTTGTTTCTTTAGGCAGATATACTCCTAAGTATTTTATTCCTTTTGTTGAAATGGTGAATGGTATTGTTTCCTTAATTTCTCTTTCTGTTTTCTCATTGTTAGTGTATAGGAATGCAAGAGATTTCTGTGTGTTAATTTTATATCCTGCAACTTTACTATATTCATTGATTAGCTCTAGTAATTTTCTGGTAGAGTCTTTAGGGTTTTCTATGTAGAGGATCATGTCATCTGCAAACAGTGAGAGTTTCACTTCTTCTTTTCCTATCTGGATTCCTTTTACTTCTTTTTCTGCCCTGATTGCTGTGGCCAACACTTCCAAAACTATGTTGAATAGTAGTGGTGAGAGTGGGCACCCTTGTCTTGTTCCTGATTTCAGGGGAAATGCTTTCAATTTTTCACCATTGAGGTTAATGCTTGCTGTGGGTTTGTCATATATAGCTGTTATTATGTTGAGGTATGTTCCTTCTATTCCTGCTTTCTGGAGAGTTTTAATCATAAATGGATGTTGAATTTTGTCAAAGGCTTTTTCTGCATCTATTGAGATAATCATATGGTTTTTATCTTTCAATTTGTTAATGTGGTGTATTACATTGATTGATTTGTGGATATTAAAGAATCCTTGCATTCCTGGGATAAAGCCCACTTGGTCATGGTGTATGATCTTTTCAATATGTTGTTGGATTCTGTTTACTAGAGTTTTGTTAAGGATTTTTGCATCTATGTTCATCAGTGATATTGGCCTGTAGTTTTCTTTTTTTGTGGCATCTTTGTCTGGTTTTGGAATTAGGGTGATGGTGGCCTCATAGAATGAGTTTGGAAGTTTACCTTCTTCTGCAATTTTCTGGAAGAGTTTGAGTAAGATAGGTGTTAGCTCTTCTCTAAATTTTTGATAGAATTCCACTGTGAAGCCATCTGGTCCTGGGCTTTTGTTTC